CCACAAGGCTCCGTTTTGGGCCCAATGCTATGGAATATCTTGTACGACGGAATACTGCGCCTCCCACTACTAAAAGAAGCTAAAATAGTTGGATACGCGGATGACATTGCGGTGGCAATAGTTACGTCTCAGAAAATTAAAAACTGGCTCGACGCGTTAAAACTTCAGCTAGCGGGGCAGAAGACAGAAGCAGTCCTGATCTCGAGTAGGAAAAAACAAGAGGCTATTACCTTAAACATTGACGGGCATGCAATTAGAACTCAGCCATCTCTAAAGTACCTGGGTGTCATAATTAATATGAGACTCAACTACAAGATGTATATCGAAAAAGCTGCGCGAGTGACTTCGGCACTAGCGCGAATTATGGCTAACATTGGTGGAACAAGCCAAGCGAGGTTATTTTTAGCAAAAATCAGCCTATCAGTTATGCTGTATTGGCACCTGTATGGGCACAAGCGTTGACCCATAAATATATGCCAAAATGGTGATTTCGCTGTGTAGACTAAGCACCATCAGAGTAGCCAGTACATTCCGCACAGTATCGCAAGAAGCTGCTAGCATTATATCCGGTATAATGCCACCAGATATAATGGCTCTTGAGCTCAAAAGAACATATGATGAGCAAAATACTCGGCAGGTCGGTAACAATAGAAGAACGAAAAGAAGAGAGACAAAAGAGTCTTAACGAGTGGCAACAGAGTGTAAACAGGGATGCAACAACCAAAGAGCGATGGACGCACCAGCTTATCCAAAATGGAAAAACCTGGGTGGATAGAAAGCACGGACAAGGACTTTTATATGACGCAGTTCCTCACTGGCCATGGCTGCTTTAGACAGTACCTGTACAAGTATGGCCATAAAAACGGAGTGACGTGTTCCTTTTGTGCTAACAGAAATGCAAATGCTCTGCACATCTTTTACCCATCTATTGCCCGAAATATAATGTGGAAAGGACCTTGCTTGAACATCAGATAGCAGAGCCCGTATCACCGGATAACATAGTACCACATATGCTGCGATCTGAGCAGGTGTGGCTCACCGTAAAAGACTTGACCGAAAAAGCCCTGATAGAACTGAGAATAGCAGAACGGCTGCGAAAGAGCGAAACGAGAGCAATAAATAGAGTATAAGTACAATGAGATGCAAGAGCCCATAGGCTAAGCTTATCTTGCGAAGAAATACTTAACGGTAGTCCCGCGAGGTACATACGAAGCTGACGGAGTTAAGGGTTTAGCACGTAGGCGTACCGATGCGCGAGTTGGGCATATTAAATAATATGGACCGGGCGTGGTCCCGAAAGAGGTGCACTAAGCGTACGGTATGAATCGTGCATGCTGTCACTGGTGACAGTATCTTTCAGAAGATTCCCCTTTCGGATAAAAAATAAAATAAAAATAAAAACACACATGTATTGAGTTGTGTACTTAAAAACAACCCCATGTGGTGTGCATGCAATATACACATATATATACACATAATTAGATAGTAAGATTTGTAAATAGTATATAAGAGAAGAATTTAATAAAATTAAGTTAGAATGAATTTATTCTCAGCTCAATCAAGTCTTTTTCAGTCCCCCACCAGCGGTAAGACAATTAGAATCTTCATTGAGTTTAATAATTTGTCTTACAAACCAATTATACACTCGCCTTAGGTCACTCTCGCAATGCAGCGGTTGTTAAGTATGGAAAAAACTTACTTAAAAAAAGTGAGCTTAAGCCAGAATACGATGGCGATCCATTTAGATCACATGGAGGAAATAAGCGCAGGCGAAAAAATCATAAACGGCAAATACTACTCATTTTAATTGCCTAATCACGCAGTAGTAGTAGTAGTCATTGCCTCAAGATACACTAGCTCACGAAATTCCCTAAATGATATTATATTTGCTGGAACCGGATTTACTGCTCCTCATATTAAATTGGCTTATATTCACACACGGGGACGTTGAAAAAATGTATCCACAAATAGTCGTACATAAAGACGGCTTACCTTTGGCGTCAATTGTACTCCATATTTAGCCATTCGAACACTCCACGAATTGGCAGAAAACACAAAGTCAGAATTTCCTCTGGCAACCGAAGTGTTAAAAACTCAAACGTATGTAGACGATATCCTGTCTGGAAGTCACAGTCTTCCACAAGCATACGAGTCACTATCACAAGTGGTACAAGCCCTCGAAACCGCAGGGTTTCCATTGAAAAAGATAACGGCGAACCACCCTAATATTTTGAAAAATATATCAAATGAAAATTTTCTAGATACTAATTTTCTTAAATTTGAAAAGGAAAGTACAACAAAAACTTTGGGGATCCAATTGAATGCGATATCTGACCAGTTTTCATACACTACAGAGTCAATATCAGCATTATCCGAAACAACAAAGCGACACTGCGACCACAAGCCACTTACTAGTCGTGTTTAAATGAGTTTAAACTCCCTCCTCCAAGTACACCATTCTACTCGAGAAAAACTGGCGCACTGTAATAATGCCCACCACATACTCACTAATACACCACACAGGACAACACAACATACCATCTTACACTCGCTTATCGTCTACGAACACCACATCAACATTCGCTTATGACTTTTCGACAACAACGATCCTGCGCGCTACTCTTGCCGATTATAAACCCGTCGATCGACATCGGCCCAAAATATTACTTTCCAGATATGTATTAAAAGCAATAATAATAACTGGCTTTTATATGTAATAAAATATTGTATATTGTAAACGAGAAAAATCGCATTGTTATTTTTAATTTTAAACGTGAGTGTATTGAGTGTCAGCATTTTTAAGACAGTGGTGGGTGCTCCCATACAAATTCTGTATCGCTATGTTTATGGTCCTTCGAGCCATAGTGAAAGGCACTATGGAGTGAAAAAACTTTAAAAACAAAAAAAAATTTAGTTACACATACACAGTGCGGTGACCAAATACAAGTAAAAAAAAAAGTGCGGTGAACCAAACAAAATAAACATAAACATACATACATAACTTATCGAAAAGGTTGAAGTGCGATGACAACAACCAAATGTGCACAATAATAAATACATATATTTGCCAAAAACAAATGCGGTTAATTTAAGTTATAATAACAATAAAGCGCAAACGAAAAAAATATATGCACATACATATGTACATGCATAGCTACATATATACATATTTTAAAATATACAAAGCCAACTTCAAAAAAAAATTTACCGATAGCCTAACACATAGGCCTAACAAGTGCAGTAAAATAGAAAAAAAAAACATATTAACAAACGAATTTAAATAAAGTGCGTCAATACACAAACAAAAAAAGGGATCAACAAACTAATACAGCGCGAAAACTAAAATACCTGATTGCATACATAAACACCAACAACTTAAACGGGTGCGAGTCTAAAACAAATGATAATAAACAAAAACAACACTCACTAAAACCAAGCACAACTGGAAGCAGAGGAAAAGGAATTGACAACAACGGAACACACATGCGTACATACAAACAGAAACCTACCCGTGCAAAACCAAAGAGCGTATTCATTTCACGTACTATTTTATATATGTATGTCAAACATATTTATATAACATAAAACCTGTAGCAGTAAAACCGTTTTTACTAATATAAAAAACGAATATCAAACTGGTATAAATCACAGTAAAACTCGAAATAATCGAACCGCTGACATTAAAACCAGTTTGGTACAATATATATAATATGTAAATAATTATTGTATGCCTATAAGCTTACCTTTGTTTTTTCAAACACACATAATTCAAGTATTTACATGCAAATATTTTCCGGCAATACCCCTTATTTTTAACAAAAACAGTAAGCAGGATTGCCTAAAATAAGTAAGCAAAGGCACAAACATGTAACAAAAATTAAAATACAAAGAAAGAGAAGTGCATATACGGGAAAACATCGTGTTTTACCAATTCTATTTTCGCGCTCCCTACGTCGCTTAAATATGTATGCAAATTTTTATAAACTTACGGCAAAGAATCTACCTATCTTTCTACACCCTACATTATGTTTTATTGAACAGCAATATTAAATTTTAAATCTTGCAAAAGAGGTGATTAAATGATTTGGTAAATAAAGTAAAACCAAATATTAAAAAATATATTTGTTACCACGCAAACAAAAAAAAAACTCAAAAAAAAACATAAAATTTATGTTTAAACAAAAACTTAAGTACATACGCATATGTAAATTTTTTCCTTGTAACAAACAAGCAGGATTGCGTACAAAAAAAATAAAGGCACATTGATCACTTCAACGAGATCTCAATTGCATCACCTTCGATACAAAACAAAAGGTCAAGCAGGCGTAATAGTAAAACAGTTCGCACTAAATGTATCCGCATGATCAGAAGATGCGAACACAGATTATGCCAGCACTTCCACCGGAACGCTGCAACTTCGCTCTGCCTTTCTCCATCATAGGTGTCCATTTTGCTGGGCCTTTTCAGATAAAGGCGAACATGTTAAGGTCTCCCACCTGCATGAAAGGCTATGCGGCTGTCTTTGTCTGTTTTACGACAAAAGCAGTGCACCTCTAGCTATGAACGAGGTCTTACTTCCGGCATTTGCTCGCTTCGTCGGACGACGCGGTTTTCCGTCAAAAGTAACAATTGTCAGTTTATCCCTCTAAGCGCTCCTCATATGGGTGGATCATGGAAACCAGCTGTAAAAAGCTTCAAATCCTACTTTAAAAACGTAGCTGAAATCTACAAATTTATTTAGATTTTATTCAGATAATAGCGAAAACGCAAATAAGAAACCATCCGTACAATAAAATTTACACGCAGAAGTCGAAACATCCGTCTAATAATCTAAAACCGAAATAAACCGCAAATATGAGAAATCACAACCATATATACTAATACAATAATGGGTAGACTAATACGACCCCCACAAACCAAATAAAGTTGGTCACATATAAAAAGATATACATAACCTATACCATTGAGTCATAACTAAACTCGCCCTTTTCTCCATACAGGTAGCTATGGACGCTGAAATGCCGGTTACACCAACGCCAATCATACGTTTGGCTGTCGTGCCCTGGTTCTACTCCCGTAGCAGCGGCTCGGAACAACCACGGCAACAACTGCACCGACCGCTGCACGAAGTGCCATGCGCCCAACGCCGACTTTAGTTTCGAAGCTGCCCGTCTCCGATGCCCGCTCTGTTGCCGTTCACACCGGCTGCAGCACTACCCCATTTTTAAGGGTATGACGCCCAATCAACGGCTACAGGTGCCCCAGGCACATGGGCATTGTTTGAATTGTTTGGCCCATACGCATGACACACAGGAATGCGTGTCCGACATCACGTGCCAGCATATGTGACAGACCGCATCATACCTTGCTGCATAGAAATCCAAGACGCCTTGTTGCACGGCCCTCCGTACCCCGCAGTCATGATGCACCCCGGCGTCTGCAGCCGAGCCGTGCAGGGCGACCCCGTCGACGACAAGCACTCGCCGCACCCCGTACCTGGCGCCAACTCAATGGCACCTCGACGCGACACCAACCCTTAAGGCCGCGAACCTGCCGCAGGACAGACCACAGCAACGCTGTGGCAAGGCTGCAACAGCTCCAGCGTCTGCTAGGCTGAACAAGATGTTTCATCTATGGGGGCCGGGATGGCTAAATGAATTAAGTTTCCCACCCTGATGCATTCAACATACAACACAACACACCACCCACAAGACAACACTGGCACACCACACCATTAAAAAATGCACTTAAAGGACTCCGTTGTATCCTCTTCGTAAAAGTGGTAAAAGGTGAGTGTTAAAGTGAAAAGAATATTCACCGCGATTTGATAGTAGATGGATAGATGAGTTTCTCCAGATTAAGAAATATGCAATGCAAATTAATGCATGCTGATTCACTGAGTTAACCACACTATGCGCATATTTTTCACTTCATTTTCACTTATCAAGTTGATATGAACACTTATCACCATGTACATATCTGTTTTGCCCGCAATTTCAGCACGATTTAAATTTGTTAAATTCAACTGTAATCCAATCAACTCGCAATCCAAAAAACCTAAAGAAATTCATAATATATTATATTAGTATATAATATAAAAGATATTCTATTATAAAAATTTTAACATAACCACATTAACCAAATTGGTTCCTAATTATAAACTTTACATATATGTACTATGTATGTACACATAGCCAATAAAGTCTGCGTACACCTGACACTATTTTTTAAGTAAAGTAAAAACACCATGTTAATAGGTAATTCAGTTCAAATTTTCTACATGTATTTGTTCTTTATATATTTAAGTTCCAAAAACAAAAACAAAAATGTATATTCCTATTTAAATTTTTGTGATTACGGGATTTTAGTGTAAGGAGAAGTAAACATAGGCACTATTAAGTCTGCGTTCAGCTTATTTGTTTCCTCAACTGCAATCTGGGGCCATTCTTCTTTCATAACACTTCGCAAAGCCTCTTTACTTGTTATTGTATGCTGACGAATTCTTCTTTCCAACAGATCCCATAGATGCTCAATAGGATTGAGGTCAGGTGATTGAGGGGCGTTTTAAGTTGTCTAGGAGCATTGTACAAGAGCCAAAGTCTAACTATTTCCGCAGTATGCTTCGGGTCATTATCTTGTTGGAACCAAAACGTCGAAGATAATCCAAGATTCTCTGCACTTTGTTTCAAACTGTATTTTAAAATGTTTAAATAACCCCATTTATCCATGGTGGATTCAATAAATTCAATTGACCCACACCACCAGCCGCCATGCAACCCCACACCATAATTCCGCCACCTCCGTGTTTAACTGTACCAACAATATTTTGCTTTTCTAGGGCAGTTCCTGACTTGCGCCACAAAATTTGTCGACCTTTTATGCCAAAAATGCAAAATTTACTTTCATCCGAAAATATTACTTGTCTTCGGAATTCCGGCGACTTATTTATATAATTATGAGCAAATTGTATGCGCTTTCGCTTGTTTACAAGTGAAATATATGGTTTCTTTCGAGCGACTGTACCATGATATCTAGATTTTCGTAAAATTTTTCTAGCAGTTTCGGCACAAATTGTTTTTTTAATGGTTATATTTACGTTTTTAATAATCTTTGTGGACGTAATTCGAAGGTTAACTTTCACCATATTTATTATTTTCCGGTCTTCCCGGGCTGATAATATTTTCGGACGGCCAGATATATATAAACTCTTGGTAAAAGTATCATACTTTATATTGTCAATGGTCTTCGTTTGTTGGTTTCCTATTTTGAAGAGAGTTTAATTTATTTACTAAACACTTCAGAATAGTAATAATTAAGAAAAATTCACAACTTACCTGACGCTCTTCAAATGTTAATTTTTGACAGATTCATTGTCTATGTGTGTATTTAATGTCTTTCCAACTCTATCCAATTGCAATTATGGCAAGTTATCTCTTTCTATGATACCTCTTCTGTGTGTATCCTATTGATTCTAATTTATTTAGCAGTATGGCATATATTGGTTACCGAATTTGTTATGTTAACAGTCAGTTAGATGTACAAATATATTCATCGACGTGTTACTCTACCGGTTATCCATCTGTTGCCTCTAATAAATGCATATGTTAGCATATCGGTTACCTTTTTGCTACCACAAATGTTTCCTGATTGTCACACACAATACTAGGTCTGAGAAAGCTCGGGAATTAATACTTGATCTTCTTTGATCATAGGAACCTGAGTTTTAGCTGGAATGAAACGCGTTTAGCTAGCACACATTTGTTTCAGGAACCTTAGAAACAAAAATTGGGATCTCGCTTCAATTGAGCACGCTGGAACGGCTAATCGACTTGATTATCAGGAACTGAATACCGAGGAATAAAATAGTGGCGACTGAGTATACCTACAGCAAAGGCAGGTCGTTAGACACTGTAAAGCCAATAACATTTTATGGTGTAGGTGCTTCAGTTCACCGGACTACCACTGCTTTTCAAGCAGAGGTAGCTGCAACATCATTTAGAGAGTTGTACATTCACTTCGATAGCAGAGCGGCACCACTGACCTTGAGCTCTCAAGATTTTTACTAAGGTTCATCTCGTTAAAATAATAAGACAATCTCCTAGTGATACTCGGTCTGTGCGGTCAAAGATTGTGAAGAATGCAAATTTTCAAAGTTGCACGGAGGAGCAGGTGAATCGGCTTAAATTAATATTAGAGGCCTCAAGAAATTTCTAACAGGCTCAATGCCATCGTTTCTAGCTGTCCAAGTGCGATCATTCGTGACCTTACGAATATCAATACGAGTGGGGCCATGAAAAAGCAAATAAAGTAATACACATAAAACAGGACCAAAAAAGTATTATTAATTTAGAAATCAGTTAGACGAAAACAATGACTTTACTTGTTATTATAAAATATATTATATATATGTATATATTTATATGCATTTTAGCATACAATATTCACTTTTATATACACATATGTTTTTCTATACATTTAATTGTAATATATTGCAATTCAAAGAAAGTTTTAAGGATGATATTGCAGGACATAAACCTTATTGAATTTGCTCCATATTATGCTATGCGCTTAAAATAAAAAAGTTTCCATTATTTCCATTAAATGGAGAATTAAAATTACCACAAAGTACGACGTTGAAATGTTTTCTTATAATAAATCTTGAACGATGTGAATATATAATATCTCGAACAGTAGGGAGGACGGACGTTACTGAACATATTAACGGTTATCTAACCACTACAAATTTTTTGTCGGAACATGGTGTTATGTGGAACGTGTTATCTCTCAGGCACCTGTCGGTGCCAGTTCAGATACTTACTTTTTTGTCGCCCGAACCGAGTTTTTGTACCGAGTTTGTTCGCAACAGTTCGCCGCTACACAATATACGTTATGTTCAGAAATATGAATTTTTTGTATGTAATATGCACATATGCATAGAATAATAGAAACATTTTGAAAATTGAGATCAAATTAAGATACTCAAAAATATTTGATTTAAATTTTTAATAAGATTTAGCATAATTAAATGTAATAATGTTATATATATATAAATAAATTTTAATATAAATTGAGTTACTTTTACTTTTTAATATTTACATCAAATATTAAGATGCTTTCATATTTATTTTTTTTACCGCAAATAATATATTTTTATTATCATTTTACACTTAATGTGGAAGATTCGGGCCCACCCTAATATTATATTTAATTTCTATGTTTAATTTACAGTTATATATTTCAATTCCAATTTCTGTATATGCTCTTGAATTGTCTCGCATTCGATTAACATACATACATTTCACGCTATACAGTTTCTGTTTCGTGTTTGTGCGATTTATATGTTTGCCATTTTCCCTTCACATAAACATGTAGGCCCAAACTACATATTGTAAGTTATCTACATGCTTGTCGGTCGTAAATTGCAGTGTGCAGTTCTTATATTCTCTTGTGCTGATCTGTACGGTAAATGCCAATATTTGTGCATATAAACTGTGACAAATCATATTCGAACTTTGTTATCGATCAGCCAGCCAGGAAGGTGGAAGGACACACTGCGGTAAGTGAAATATATATACTTCTTTGCAAGTGCATAGTTTCGTTGTCGCAGCATACTGATTCCCGTTCCACTCCGCCACACTTTGGAATAGGTAGAGCTGCTATAAGCCACATGTACAGTTCAACTAATTTAGGGATGGATATGCCTTTGATCCAGTCTAATTCAACAACAATCATACCATTTGCAACATCTGTATGTAATATTTGTGTTTTTTGGCAATGAGCAAACGTGTTGAGTGGGCAGGTTTCGTAGCGCTTATACCGCCATATGCAACAGTGAAATATTTCAGTGAGTGGTTAATAAAATTAGAGAATAAAATTTGTACGGTATTGGTTGATACTTCGTCAAAGAAATCGAAGTTCTGCCCGGTTCAGCACACATTCCAGCAGCACCGGGCAACGAGATGCCCAATTTGTCAGGGGCATGATAAGCCAGTACAGTTTGGGCGTTTTCTAGAATGTTCGGTGCCAAACAGATGGACAGAAGCGAAACTACATCGCTTGTCTCAATTTGGGTTACAGTACACGAAATTGCCAACGGACATGGGGATGTGTGGATGTGAGCAGCATTTGAATGTTCAGTAGTTTATAGCACATGCCGTGCAGGAGTCAACGTTTCTGGTAGGCTTGCTTATAAGTGGTGCCGGTATGCAAAAACAACACAAACTTCGCAATGTGTATGCTGTATCAAATGTGCAGATTCCTCTGCAGAGTTTAACCAAGGACGATTTGGATCACAACTTGAAACATGTAAGCCAACTTCCAGTACAACCTTATGCCCAGGTCAGGCCCAGACTATTGATTGGTCTTAATCATGGCAATCGATGGGATTGCCATCGACAACTATGAATGTAAACTCGCATGGTCCCTTTATTGCTAATACGGAGTTGGGATGGGTGGAGTTTGGTCCAACTTCAACTACGATACCATCCCCAGCATCGTGTTTGTTTATGAACCGCTAAGCTGATTAGTCTCTCCACAATATGGGAGTTGCCTTCTTCAAGACCGACAATTTCGGTGTCAGAGCTGCGCCTGCTATATAGAGTGATGCGGATACTCGGGCCAGAACTATTCTAAAGTCCGCCACATGCCGCGTCGATGGACGGTTTGAAAAAGTCTCATATGGAGAACTGACAACGTAAGGTTACCTGACAGCTACAACATGGCGTTGAAACGTCTGGTCAGCGGAGCGCAAAGGATGTGTCGATAGAAGCCGCTATGTCTACCGCTAAGACTTGGAATTTGGCGCACTTTGCCGTTGCCAGTCCCAACAAACCCGGAAAGCTACGCATGATATTTGACGCCGGTTCTGAGGTAAGTGGAATCTCCCTCAATTAACAGCTACTGAAGGGTCCGTAAGAATATCGGTCATTGCCGTTGATATTATTCCATTTTCGTGAAGGCGCGATCGCCGTATGTGGAGACATCAAGGAGATGTTCCACTAAGTCCTTATACCAGAAGACGTTAGATGCGTACAGCGGTTTCTCTGGCGTTGTTGTGACGCCTCTCATTCGCGGACGTTTACGAAAAAAGTTAACGCGTTGGAGTACCAAGATGATCGCCAAACCACCGCCCGTGCGAATAAGGCGATATTGGACCACCACTATGTCGATCACTTTGTTCATAGTTTCTGCTCGGAAGAGGAGGCCATTTCTATATCCCAAGAGTTCCAAACGATTCATATAGATGCTGGTTTTGAGCTTCACAATTTTACATCCAATGTCTTATGTCCAATTGATAATAAAGAAGGTTTCGTTGGAGAGCGGGTGCTTGATTTCTTTTGGCGGGTGTTAGATTGTTTTGAAATGAGAACTCCTTAGCATTGTTATATCCATTTTCAAGATTTTCTGAGCAACTTCGTCATTGGCGCTAAACTACTCATGCGTGAGTTATGGAAACATGACCACTACGACCCTTTGCCAAACGCCGTTAACGCTATCCTAACACCATTCCTCGTTTTTATTTTGGAAATGGCGTTCCTCAAATTTTTCAGATCCACGTATTTGTCGACGCTAGTAAAGGTGCTTTTGCCGCTGCTGCCTATCTCTATTAGGTAAAATTAATGTTACATTCGTTTCTTCTAGGTCTAAATGCGGGCCAATGAAAACTCTTATTGTGTCACGGCTTCAACTTCAGGCAGCTGTTTTGGGCACACGTCTCATGCAGTGCATCCGCGACGAACACTCTTTTGGCATCACAGACTGCATTCTGTAGAGTGACCCAAAAACGGTCATCAAATGGATTCAAAGTGAGCATCGTAATTACAAGCCTGTCGTACAGCTACAAGCGTTTCCAATTGGCTGCCTACTAAGCTAAACGTAGCCGACGAAGCTACTCGTATAAATTATTGAATCAATTTTAGTCCCACGGCGCGTTGGTCATGTTGTCCCCATTCCTGCAGCAGGATCCCAGGCTTTTACGCTTTTATATAGACGAGGAAGGCGTTCTCCGAGTGCAGGCTCATGACTTGAGTACTGACTCCTGTATCATTGCTATACGTAATTTTGTGAATCGACGACGTGCACCTGTAAGAATTGACAATGGAAAGAATTTCGTTGATGTTGACCGAAAAGCCAAGCGATTCACAGAAGGGTTCGACTGCGTTTACAAAGTGAATTATCGCAGAAAAATATCCAGTCGGTATTAATTCACCATGTAGTCCATCGGAACGTGGTGCATGGGAGAGAATGGTACAGTGTGTCAAGCGAGTTTAATTTCACACTTTGAAAGAGGTTGCACCAAGGGAGCATACCCTGAATAGTTTTCTTATTGAAACCGTTTAAAGAAGGGGACTGGGTGTTCATATGCGGCCCTAGTGTTCCACGGCGAGAATGGTGCCGAGGGAAGGTAAAGCTAGTGTACTCTGGGCTTGATGGAGAGATACGACGAGCAGACATACGAACTTCTAGAGGAGTGAAACGACGCGCAGTCTCAAAACTTGCTGTTCTGGACATTAATGGTGGTGAATCAGGTTAATTCACGGAGGCGGGGAGTTTGTAGATTAAAGCCTACCCTAATATTATATTTAATTTCTCTGGTTATTTACAATTGTATGTTTCAACTCCAATTTCTTTACATTGTAACGGATTTCCCGATAAATCGACGTCTGTCGTCTCACACGACAACACTTTAACTATAAATGTGTGTGCTGCACAATCTGGCAGCCCTTATATAGTACATCTTTAATAAAACTAGAACATTTTGGCAATTACGAACTCCCTGTCTAGTTGCTTCTTGCAATTTATCGTCGGTTCTATTTTGTTATTTGTGCGATTTATATTTTTTCCATTCTCTCTTCGCATAAACAGGTAGGCACAAACTACATATGTTAAGTTATGCTAGTTGTTTGTAAACTGCAATGTGCAGTTCCCCTATTCTCCAGTGCTAATCTGTATGATAAATGGTTCATATAAGTTGGGGCAAATCATATTCGAATTTTGTCATCGATCAGCCAGCCAGGAAGGTGGAAGGACACACAGTAAGTGAAATATATAATAATTATTTGTAAGTGCATAATTTAAATGATTGTGTATTTAGAAGTAAGCCATAAACCAAACATGCGTAACAAAATATGAGACCACCATAATAATATACAAATGAACTATGCAGTACAATCTAAGTGTCGCGTAGACGAACCGTAGAAACATTTGCGAAAATTTTATGAAAATATATGACAGAAAAACTCAAACCGAGATGATGCACTCTTTTCGCGACAAAAGAGTCCCCATATCAATACGTTCAATATACATTCTGATCTTTGCACTGTGATTCATAAGGCGATTGATGAATCGCGAGTAAATACTACCCGTTCAATAGTTGTCACGTTCGTATTCATTTGAATTTTATCGGGATTTGCAATATATTTTTTTTAAAGAGTTTTGCTTATTTCTTTAATTTTTTGTTCGTTTAATGTCGAAAGAAAACTGATGAAAAGTTTTGCAGCAAAAAATGCAGGCAACCATTGGGAAGAATTCACTATATCTTTGAAAATACAAAATTTATTATATAATAGCGCAATTCAATAAGCAATCTCTAGTTACTGCTTGAGATATTTTGAAGTAAAGTGTCATTTTGTGAAAAGTTACTATTCATGATGTAGTCTCCAGTCTTTAATCACAAACTATTATCTCAAATTCGTTACCTGATAGTGTGCTTTTACATTGGGACTCTTTTGACCGTCATTTTTTCAATGTCAAGAGATTGAGGCCGTGATAAATTGCGAAATAGGTCTTGAGGAAGATTCCATGGACGAAAACGATATATCGAGCGAAATTAACGCATGGACCGAGGAACTAGAGGCAAACTATCAAACTACGGCTAAACAACTTCTTCTCAGATACTCATCCATATTTGATAAAGACGATGCCAAACCAGGAAGAACCAAAGTTGTGAAACATTTTATTAACACAGGTGATGCAAGGCCAATCCGCCTCGGAGCATTCCTTTAGCAAAACGTGAAGTTGTAAGCCAGACCATACGTGAAATGAGCGAAAGCGGCAATCGAACCATCAGAGAGTCCGTAGAGCTCACCTGTAGTACTTGTGAAGAAGAAAGACGGCAACATGAGATTTTGTGTGGACTATGGAAGGTTGAATGATGTAACGAAGAAAGACAGTTATCCACTACCTAGAATCGATGATACACTGGACTCGTTCCCAGGTACAAAATGATTCTCAGCACTTGATTTGAAAAGTGGTTATTGGCAAGTGGAGGTAAACGAAGAAAACAAAGAAAAGACGGCTTTCAACGTTGGAGATGGCCTATGGCAATTTAGAACAGGAAGTGGACTTCCAAACTCTGAAGAAGCGGTTAAGAACTGCGCTAATGTTAGCATTTTCAGTCCCAGGATTAGCGTTTATTTTGGGTACGGATGGCAGTGGATTTGCAGTAGACGGCGTTCTATCACAAGTCATTGATGGGCATGAGAAAGTGGTTGCGTATTACAGCCAGACCATAAGCAAGCCAGAGAGAAATTATTCATCAAACATTTTCATAAGCACCTATATGGCCAGCGATTTCAGGTGAGGACAGATCATGCAGCATTAAAAAGACTTCTACAATTCAGCAACCCTGAAGGACAGTTGGCACGGTGGATTGATAGACTCCAAAGTTACGACTTCCCTATAGAACATCGCAAAGGTAGTAGTCATGGAAATGCTGATGCCATGTCCCGCCGTCCCTGTAATCTGGAATGCAGACATTGCTCAAAGGCTGAGGCCAAAGAAGACATTATAGATGTCCGATTAATAACTATAACATAAGACTGGGATCCGGAGAAGCTACGGAAATGTCAGCAAGAGGATCCAGATTTGAAAAGTGTAATACACGGATTGGAGATAAATAAACGTCCAACGAGAGAAGAAATAACTGCAAAAAGCCCAATCGCAAAGGCTTATTGGGCACAATGGAATAGTTTGAAGTTAGTGTCTGGCTGCTTGCATCGCGTATGGGAAAGCGAAGATGGACAAAGTTCACGAGCTCTGATGATTGTTCCAAAAGTAAGAATTCCTGAAGTTCTCAACGAGCTGCACAACGGTCCAAGTCGAGGACACATGGGTATCACTAAAACCTTGGAGAAATTAAAACAACGATTTTATTGGGTTGGTTGTCGTCAATCAGTTACGGAGTGGATCGCCAATTGTGTCGAGTGCATTGCTGCTAAAGGGCCGCGGTCCAAGGGTCATGGTCAGATGAAGCCGTACAATTAAGGTGCGCCGTTAGAGCGAGTAGCCATGGATGTAGCTGGTCCATTTCCTACCGTTAAATTAGGAAACAGATATGTTTTGGTAGTCATGGACTATTTCAGCAAATGTCCAGAGGTATACGCAATTCATAACCAAGAGGCAGGAACAGTAACGGATGTATTCCTCAACAATTGGGTACCGAGATATGGTGTTCCAATAGAATTACATTCTAAACAAAGAAGACATTTTGAATCAGCTCTAATTCAGGAGATGTGCCAGAAGCTGGGTATCCGGAAAACCCGTACAACTGCACTACATCCGCAGTCGGATGGCATGGTAGTACGATTCAATCGAACTTTGGAAGAACATTTGAGGAAAGTTGTGGACAAGTATCAGAGAGATTGGGATACCCATATATCCTTGTTCCTGATGGCTTATCGGTCTGCTGTACAGGAAACAACTTGGCAGACTCCAGCAAGGGTAATTTGTGGTAATGATCTTCGACTACCGATTGATTTAAAATTTGGAATTAACGCCAACGGGGGAAGGAATACTAAGGAATTCAATAGCATCCTAGAAGACGAGGTGAGGGATAAACATGCTATGGTGAGGCAGCGCACCAAATCTGAGGGTTTTATTGAAGGCGATTGGGTATTGTTATATAACCCATAACGAAAGAAAGGGTTATCTCCCAAATTACAGTGTAATTGGGAAGGACCATACCAGGATACTAAACGACTCAATTATGTAGTGTATCGCATACAGACCATTGGAAGACCAAGGAATAAAATGAAGGCTGTTCACCTGGAACTGCTTGCAGCGTTTGGTACCGCAAATATCTAATCGTGACGATCAGACTTAGTTAGAGGGCAGTGTGGCGAACACGAGTACCAGAACAAATTAGAATGGACGATAAACTGCCAGAAGCAGCTAGACAGCGAATTCGTATTTGACAAAAAAAGCAATTAAGTAAAAAGCAATTAAGCTATAAGCAATAAGTTGTAAACTCGAATATCGAGCAATAAGTGTTAAGTTGTATATGATACTAGGGTATCTTCTCCAGTTGCAGCACGCAACTTTGCCCCAGCTAAGAGTCTCACTTCTTTCTCAACTAGATCAGATCGAATTATGGAATGTGATGCGCCCGTATCCACAGTCAGCATGCGCTTTTTAGCGTCTACATATCCACTAACGGTAACGTTACCCGTATTCCTGCTTATTTGTGAATTGGAGATTACAGGGCATTTGCTTGCGGGAGCCAGCCCGTGCCCTTTTCGGCTGGCTCGCTTTAGTTTTAACGATTGGTTTGATTTGACACTGGCTTGATCTTCCTCATCTTTGCGTTTACGTCCAACTGGATTATTGGGCTGGTTACAGTTGCGTGCAATATGGCCACTTTTTCCGCAGTTGAAGCATTTAAGCACACCATCATTTTTCTTATGCGCTTCCATAGATTTTTCCAGTGCTTTCTGCATGTTGTCGATTTTTTCAAGTAATTGGTTCACCCACGTGTGTTCCCCTATTTCTACTTTGTGAGCTATAAATGTTTGATTGCAAAGCAGAGATGCAGTTTCCTGTGTCAGAGCATACGAAACGGTTTCTGCAAACGTCAATTTTGCACATGCTAATGCAGCTAAGCGTGTAGTGTTATCTTGTATTCCATTGACAAGAGTCTGAATTTTCGTGTCCTCGATGTATTCCATGGATTTATGTGCATAAGCTAAGTGAGCTAACCTCTCAATCTCTGTAGAAAACTCCCTTTATTCCAACAACTTAACACTTATTGGTCGATAAAACACAATTAATTTTAAATCGTGATTAAAGTTTTCTTAAATTTGACATATTTACACAATAACAAAACGGTTGCATGCAAACAAATAGTAAGATTTATCATACCCGAATTGTGCATGAACAAAAATTAATGAAATGGAATAGATGGAACTGCAAATACAGGAAGTAAATAGTAAAAGAAAAGTAATTGTTATAAAGAAGAATCCTCTATGACATTATTAGTCGATGGTCGATCCAACACCGGGGTGTTCAAAGTTCTTTCGCGTCGAACTTCTTTTTGAAAGGGAATTCCAACTCTACACATGTATTATCTACAATAACCGGTACAACAGTTTCCTCATCGGAACTGGAGTTAGACAACTCAACGACAAAGGTATTGGGTCTTTACTGGGATCCAGTGAGTGACGAGCTCTTCTTGAAGGTAAGCATGATTGACGACACCTCAATGCATACTAAACGAAGGGTTTTGAGTGACGTGGCGAAATTATACGATCCAACTGGGGTATTAGCACCTGTAGTTGTGTCGGCCAAACTATTCATACAGGACTTATGGAAAACTGGTCTACCCAGCAGAGCTGCTCAATACATGATTGATATTTCGGAATAGCTTACAAGATATTTCACGGCTTCGTATTCGTCGTTGGCTGGGTATACGAGTGGGCTCTTTAGTGCATTTACACGGCTTTTGCGATGCTAGTAGTAAAGCATACGCGGCAGTCGTATATGTTCAAACCATCGATAACAGCGGAACGTCACGCACCGTTCTTGTTTCAGCGAAGTCGAAGATAGCACCAATTAAGGATGTGACTATACCGCGCCTCGAACTAAGTGGTGCCCATCTTCTAACCAAGACGCTAAATAACGTACGTAAGGCTCTAGATTTAAAGGACGCCCCATGTACGAGCGATTCCACTATTGTATTATGCTGGATCCGCAAAACGCCATCCACGTTCAAGCAATACGTATCCAATCGTGTAGCTTACATCCATGCCAACTCAGACATTAATGCTTGGAAACACATTCGCTCGGAATCGAATCCAGCCGATTGGGCAAGCAGGGGTCTCTCTCCTGCTCTCTTAGCAGAGAATCACCTTTGGTGGACGGGACCGACGTGCATTCATCGAGGTGTGGGCTGTACAATGAGCCTACCCGCTTTGACGGAAGAGGAAGAGCAACTCTCTATAGCTGAATCTCGTCCGGTCTCCATCTTCGTTTCTAGAGCTGATTACCAGTGGATTATGACATCCACGAAAGACAAGCGGATACCTCTCGTAGAAAAAATTTAGCAAATTGAGTCGTTTACTCAACACCACTGTTTGGTTAAGGCGATGGTTACCGAAATATCGTGGTTACAGGAACGATGTAGTTTCTCTCGAAGAGCAGCGATGGACGTTACTTCTGCACGTTCGACAAGCACAAGGTAATAATTTTAAAGACTAAACTAAATCGCTTGCATTGCTTTCCAGGATTGTGGGTCGTAGTCAAATCATAGCACTTAATCCATTCCTGGATACTGACGGCGTACTGAGAGTAGGTGGTCGACTCACCAACACCGACTTAGACGAAGCTCTTCGATATCAAATTATAATTCCACGTGGGGCCCTGGCTTACTTGCTAGTCTCTGATGCGCATACACGTTGCCTACATGGTGGTATACAACAAATGCTGCAGTTTCTTAGACAACGTTTCTGGCTTATAGGGGCACGAGCTCAAATAAAGTCTTTCATCTGGACATGCACTACATGTCGTAGGCACCTTCAAATTCTACAACGCCAGCAAATGGCTTCGCTTCCAAAAGAGCGAGTATTAGTGGCACCACCATTTTCTCGTAGCGGATTGGATTACTGCGGGCCATTCCATGTCCGTGTGGGAATGCATCGTGCTACCCCGACTACAAAAACATACGCTGCCATATTTGTTTGTACGGCTTCACGAGCGGTACATATTGATCTGGCAGAGGACTTGAGTACACAGGCATTTATAGATGTTTACGATCGCTTCATTAGTCGAAGAGGTATATGCACCACTTTATACAGTGATAATGGAACACAATTCGTAGGCGCGAAACGTCAAATGCAGGAGGACTTAAGAAATTTGGTAGCGACATATGCTCAACAACATTTGGCAGCTGAAGGTACCTGTTGGAAGTTAATAACCCCTTCCGTACCTCATCATGGGGGTCTATGGGTGGCGGCAGTTCGTTCGGCTAAAAAGCATCTACTGCGGGTCATGGGCAGCCAGACGCTGCTTTACACTGAGGTGTCCACTCTCTTGACTCGCATTGAAGCGTGTCTGAATTCGAGACCACTGATAGCTCTCTATGATGATCCTGAAGGTGGGATAGCTCTAACTCCGGGGGACTTCCTGATCGGGCGTCCACTTAATTGCCGCCCAGATCCTCCATTACCTGAAGCTCCAAAAAACGTCTTCGGTATTGGCAACGACTCCAGAAAATGCTGGAGCACTTTTGGCGTCGCTGGCAATCCGAATACCTACAAACTCTCCAAACTCGGAATAAATGGACTAGAGCGGAACCCAATGTGCAGCGTGGTGACATCGTTCTTATACGAGGTGAAAATCATCGGTTTGGCGTATGGGACGTGTGATTGACGTTCACCCGGGCAGTGATGGCCTGGTACGTACCGTGATGATAGAGTACAATGCAAACCAGAGATCATCGGATGGAATTCCTATTAAACAGCGGTGTCAGCGACCGGTGCAAAAATTATGCCGCCTAACAGGTCCCGCAGAAGAAATACTGAACCGCGAGGGTTAAGCCGGGCAGGATGTTCAAGATTTAAGTACATTAGAATGCAATCCTGTGCATAATTAGCAAGGACACAAACCAATGCCAGTCAGCTGATTGCTGAATGCTGAATGATCAGCATAATTGTGTCCTCCTTTTAGCATTGAATTCTTAGACTAGTCACTCCACTCTAGCGTAGGGAATATAAATGGGAACTATCCTTACATATATGTAAATATGTATCATATGGCGTGATGCTATATCCCGTTAATCAAAATGTATATTTAAGAAGGAATTTAATAAAGAAGCGGCCTATTCCGTGACAGACGTGTGTAAGATCTAGACGACTTCTCTTTTATTTGGTGGAAATTGATGCATATATTATACATCCTTTAATATCTCGAAATCGTATGTTTATTTATTAACTTGTTCTTATATTTTTGAATATCTTCATTTTTCTCTTGGTCTGTTAATATTATATATCATTTAATGTTATTAAATTTATTGTTTTCAATTGTTCATCTACATTTTTATTAACTTCTATTATTGAGTTTCTGCTCAAACAATCGGCCTCCAAATTATTCTTTCCTGGTGCGTATATAATTTCGAAATCATATTTTGATAGATAATAGGATAAATCTCCTAACTCTTCGTCTGTTCTAGATTTTATATTTAAATTTTCCAATGGGTTATGATCGGAATGTACTGTGAAAGGTTTTCCTATAAGCCAGTACTGCCAGTATTTTATGGCCTCTTTAAAAGCTAAACATTCTAAATATATAGCCTTTTCCTTCTTTGTGCTGGATTTGTTTTTTTTTTAGAAATATGCTATAGGGTTTTCTTTTCCGTCTGGCGGAGTTTGCTTGAACACTGCTCCAATACCTTCTAATGATGCATCTGTATATATGTTTATTGGTAGGTCTTGATCAACAATTTCTAAGATTGGTTTTGAACACAGTCTTCTCAAAAGCTTCTTGACAGTCGGTTGACCATATAAATTATTGGTGCTTTCTTAATTAATAATATAATGGTTCTAAAATTACTGAACTATTAGGTATGTACTCGCGATAGAAATTGATTTTTCCTAATAGTTGTCTAATATTTTTCCGATCCTTCGGTATTGGGAAATATCTTATTGAAATTAAATTATCTCTTACTGGTTTTACTGTATTATTTTCTATTATATGTCCGAGGTATTTTACTAACTTCGTTCCAAATCGACATTTTGCAAACTTAAGTCGGAAACCTTTTTTTTCTTATCGCCTTTAAAATCTGTGATAAGTGATTTATATGCTCGGTATAGGATTTTGAAAATATTAAGATGTCATCAATGAAATTTACAGCAAATTCTGTTAACATGTATTTTCTCAGTATGTTGCTTAGTATTCTTTGAAATATAGCTGGGGAAGTCTTCAAACCGAACGGCAAACATTTCCACTGGTAGTGGCCTTCCTGGGTAACAAAAGCAGTTTTCTTCCTGTCTTCAATTCGAACCCGAACGCAGAATTTATATCTAAAATTGAAAAGTACTTACAGTTTCTGGTTTTTGTTACTAGATCCTCAATCAAAGTAAATGGTTGAGATTGAGGAACCACGATTTTATTTAAATCTCTAAAATCAATACACAATCTTGTTCTTCTATTATCTTCTTTTTTCTAGAGTTACTGGAGCAGCAAATGGGCTGTACGATTCTTCTATTAGATTTCTTTTAAGCAATCTTCTTACTTGCTCTTCCATCTCTAACTTATCCTCCATTGAACATCTGTAAGGTCTTTTACTGCAGTATTTGTCTACAAGTAGATCAATGCATGCTTCATAATCCTTAACTGTCCCAATATTATATTTATCTTTAGCAAAGCTTGATTTGTATGTTTCAATAAGTTTATTTATTTCGATTTTTTTTTTTTACTATTTAAATGACTTAGATCCATTATAAATTCTCTTTCTTTTATATGCTCATTAAAGTTTATAAAGTTCAAGTTTATTTTATCATTAATTTCAGGATTCTCTTAATATTTAGTTCATCCTTCGTAAAGTCTTGTTCAGGTTTTTGGTTTATTTCCAACTTTTCATTCTGAATAAAATTAAACTCTTTTATAGCATCAAGTCCAATTAGAAAATCGTATTTGAAGTATTTTCCATCTACAACATAAACATCGATTTTTTTCTCTATATTAAAAACCTTAATTTTTATTGTTGTTAAACCTTTTGTGTTTTTTACACCATTAATTGTTAGTAAATTTGTATTTTTGTGTATATTTTCGCCTTCTTTCTTTAGTCTTAATAATTTGGAATTTATCAAGGAGGCGTTAGAGCCGGAATCATATATACCAAATATGTCTAATTTTCCTTCTAATGTTAATTTTACTTTAATTAATTGTGTAATTATTCGTTTTTTTGTTCAAAATCGCTTAACGTCTAATACAATATTGTTTACATTTTTATTATAATTTCTCTTGTTCCCATAGTTATCGGTCCGCTTAAACCAGCACCAAGGTGGAAACGGCACCCTTTATTTAGTTTTTCACAAATTTTGCAAGGCTTAATTCTTTCAACTCTTATTTTATTATCAAATGTATTTCTCTTGAATTATATTATTATTATTATTTTTATTGATTGTTTGTTCATGTTGACCAATTTCATTGAAAAGTTTTGCCGTTGATGTTATTGACTCCTTATCCATTTTATACATTATATAATCAGGTAGACCCAAAACAATAAGATGAATCATTGTCTGTGTGTCTATATTTTTATTTATCTCTAGTAACAATCTTTCCTCTTTTGTGGCTTATTCCCGTAATGAACCTAATTGTAATTTATATGAAAATGCATATTTAACTTGTGACCAACCTTTGGTTCCGTATGTTTGACAAAAATTTGTTTTCCATGTTTCCCATCCAGCGTTTACTGAAAATATTATTATAATACTAGTGTACCAATCCAGACATTGCTTTTCAAGTAAATATTGTACCATGTAACATTTCAATTTTTTCGGCCTCCTTTAATATCTCGAAACGTGTGTATTCTCAAAATCACTGATCCAATGGTTAACATTTGATGTTTTTTCCGAATACTTCTCGAGTAAAAATCTTTCAGTTATTTTTCCTAGATTTATATTTTCAGTGCCTTTACTAGTACTACTACCAGAAAGCTTCGTTTCATGTATAGTTTCATCTAGGTATTGGTCACCAAATTGCAAATTCTCACCTTCATCTAAGTAAGTTTCTCTTAAAGCTTGGGTCATAGGAATCCATATTCTCCATGTTTGATGTCTTCTCTTTAGAGTATTCTTAATTTTAGTAAAACATCCATACTGGTTATGGCGGTGTGTTTGCTTGCGGGTTTTAAATCATCAGGAATATCATATACCTGTCCATCGGGTGTCTCAATTGATGTTATGCAAAGCACATTGGTTTTTCCCTCAGAATTTGCTAAAACTGCAAATGTAAATCGCAACTTTTCCATTTTTCTTCACTAAAAATGTCGTTTTATAGGACAATAAGCCTATTTTGTTGCTATTCGGTTTTTATCTGACAAATTAAGCCATGTGTTTAACAGAGCAACACATGGCTTAATTTGTAAAAGAATTATTTTTTTATTTTAATTTTCAAATTCACAATTAAAAAAGGTTCACACATAACCTGTTAAACAAAGAAACGACATTTAAAGTCAATTTGTCGATCTTTTCAATTTAATTCAAACTAAGTTCTTTTCTTCTAAGATTTTTGAAGCCATCTCATATCAAAATGATACGGCGGTTTTTCTAATTTATATGGCGCCATCTACCGAGTTAGTTATATCAACACATCAGTGACATCCGATAATGTCACACAATAATTAAATATTAAATAATCCTAGATACGTCTAGGTATTCTTTTACATACATATACCTATATACATATTCAACATAGAAATATACAATATTGGGTAGTTATGATTATATGATTCTTACGTATATATTTTTTTAATGCTAATATATGGCTCAATTATATATAACATCTAGAATAAGTAATTTACTTACTTGTATTCAGTAAGCTGTTATTATCTCACACAAGACCAAAGGACGAAGGAGGAACCGATTTACTTACAGCCTCTATGCCCAACACATGGCGAAATGCGTGTTGGATAGATATCGACCATCGGGCATAGTAGACATGATCCCCTGAGATGCCAGTTTTCTGCGGATAAATAGCAGTGTTGCCCGTATCCTTTCGCAAGATGGTGAGCTCCACACGCACATTCTTAGCCTTCTCGGTGTCCCGCGCTGTTTCATTAGTAAGAATACTGTTAGAGAGTTCTTGGTTCCTTGGAGATATTAATGATTACCTTAAGACGTCGCATACCCAATGGTACACTAGCAAAACGGAAAGTGGTGAGTTTCATCTAAAACACACTTAAAAACTACAAAAATAAATAAGTAGTTAATTTAAGCAGTGCACAGCAATTCTTACCTTGACATGCGCTTATTGATGTGGAATATCTTTCGCTTAATAGTCCACCAAACAATAAAACAGTATTACGGCGTTCTCATTGGCCGGTTTCGAATGATGATCGTTAGCTACCACGATGACACATCCCTGCAACGCAATACAAACTAGAGGAGGCAAGACAATGTAAGTTATTGGTCTTTCGAACTAATTAATGTACTCGCTTGCACTCACCGTGTATATGCGTTTATCGAAAGCAAAAAAATGAAAATAGATTTTCCGGCGGTATCCGCTTTGTTTATTAGGCAAAACATATATAAAAGTTGGAAATTCCACTTAAGGTACTCGGGCGAAAAGTTGCTACGATCGGTAGTGTAATTGATTGGATCAGTTCCACTGATGTAAAATGCTGCAGGTACTCGACCGACAGAATCAAAAACGATGACCGTGTGCTCGCTTCGAATTAGATGCGAAAATAAGGGCCGGCCGCTTAATATGTCGATAGTTTTATTGATGGTTGGTGGGGTGATTGCCAGGTGTGTTGGCTTATCCTGGATGGTGGTGTCGTTGTGTGAGGTGTATGGTCCGTGAGGTGAAGTGGTGAATGTTGCGAGAGGTGATGTGAGGAATGTTGTATGTCGGTGATGTGTGATGTAGATTGTGTCTGTTAGTGTGGGAGGTGTGTTGGTATGTATGGTTTTCGGGGCAACGTAGGCTCATTTAGTCATCCCGGTCCCCGTGCGAGGCCGAGCTGATGCGTTTCTTTGGAGTCGCTTGACTACTTCGCGATGGTGGGAGGCAGTTGGTTGACGACTGTCGCGCCTCGCGGTACGGTGAAGGAGTGTGTGATGTTGCTCACCACACATAGGCCCCTAGACTCACATGCGGTTTTTGCATGGGTGTGCGCCAGACAATTCAGGCAGTGTCCATGGGCCTAGGCGATTTGCTGCCGTTGGATTGATGGCATACCTTTAAATATGCCGCAATATTGCAACCGGTGTAGGCGACGACAAGCGGGCATCGGAGGCGATGCAGCTCAGCGGATAGCGATGTGTACATGGTTAGTAACCGCGTGCCACTACGAGTTGCGATTGGAGCGGCTGTGGTAGCCGTAGTTCGGGGTACTGGATTTGACCCAGGGCGTGGCACATTAACGGCCGACCGTTTTGCTTGCGTTGATGATGGTGCATCTCCATACATATTTACCTATATGGGAAAAAAGTTATTTAGATTATAAGAATGTCACATGATTGAGTTGGAAATTTGTGCCACGTTATGCCATCGTTAGTTCGATCGACCTTTTACCGGATTTAATTGTTGGATTTATTAATTTTAGCGGTTTTTATTTCTTCTCATCGGGTTATTATTTACGTTTGTTCGATATTATCGGCTGTGGGTAAGTAGCATAGCTTTACGAGCGGACTAGTTAGTGCTCCGGTTTGCGTACGGAGGTCGACTACTCGGATGTGACTGTCGGAGCCATGGTGAAGGTTTTCTATACGGCCAAGCCGCCATTTGGGAGGGGGAGACAATCAGCGTGTACTAGCACGCAATCTCCAAGCTTTGGCTCCTTTTCTGGAGCTTTCCAGTGGTACCTCTTGTGGAGGTCCTTTAAAAAATCTTTTTTTCATCGCCGGCTAAAATTGTGATGAATTCTTTCCGATCGGTTTAATGAGGATAGCGACTCCACGTCTGGCTCAGGTATGGCCAGAATGAGTGCTCCTTTGAGAAAATGCCCAGGAATCAGGGTGGTGAAATCGGAGGGATCTTGCGAGAGGATTGTGATTGGCCGTGAATTGAGAACGGCTTCAATTCCGATTAATAAGGTCGTGAATTCGTCATAATTAAACTTGTAGTTTCCAGCTACTTTTTTGAAGTGGGATTTGAAGCTTTTTACAACAGATTCCCATAAACCACCCATATGATGAGCGCTTGGGGGATAAACTATCAATTAATGCCTTGGGGTGCGTACTTCTGTACAATCTCAAGTGAAACTTGTTTAATAAATTCCACAAACTGTTTTTCTGTGGCTCTTTTGGCTCCAATAAACGTTTTGCCGTTGTCACTCATTATTTTTGAGGGAAAACCACGCCGTCCGACGAAGCGGGCGAATGCCGCGAGGAAAGCCTCTGTCGTCAGATTTATACATAGCTCAAGGTGAACAGCTGGTATGATTATGGGATTGCGTTCGTTGTATGTCAGGCTGGAGTTGACAAGCGACCATTCGCACGAAGCAGACCCTTTGTGTCAAGAAATGGGTTTATTACTAAAAGTGAGCTCTTTTTATCAATCGGCTTCGAATCTTTAAGCAATGATATTTCGCGAATGAAGTAGCGCATTTGAGTTGATGCGATTAGAGCGACCTTGGCCTTTTGCAATTCTAGGTGCATCAATGTATCGCATTGGGGGTACTCTGAGGGAACTCCCTTAACTTTAATTTCAAGTCGCTCTATGAACTTTAACATATAGGCAACTACTCTGAGGGCTCGGGGGAACGATGAAAATCGCTTAAGGATGTCAGTATCCTCCTCTACACTCTCTGCTGTGTGAAAGGAGTCGATTTTTCGACTTTCTTTGGCAATTATATTGCGCATGGGCGATTGTGCCAAGAATCGGGAGATTTTAGCAACTATAGGAGGCCATTTCCACCAGAGGGAGTTGTGGCAAGGTGCAGGGGTTTGCCCCTTCTTGTATCTAGATCAGCTGGATTGTCAGCACTGGTTACGTGGCGCCAAGTGGCTGATCCTACTAGTTCAATTATTTAAGACGTTCGATTAGAAATGTACGTCTTCCATGCATGTGATGGTTTTTCCAACCAGGCTCGAACAATTTCAGAATCGGACCAGGGATACAATCTATGTTTCTTCATGTTTAAATGGATCTGCACCATGGAAGCTAATTTTGCGAGTAGTAGCGCGCCACATAGCTCAAGTTGAGGTAGACTTAGCGTTTTTAGAGGAGCCACTTTTGCTACTAATAAGTGGCTTGTGGTCGCGGTATCGCTTTGTGTGCGCACATAGATAGTGGCACAGTATGCCTTCTCAGAGGCATCACAGAAGACGTCTAATTCGACCTTGTGTTCGGGGAAATAATTGACCCATCGTGGGATTTGTATCTGGGAAATGTCTTCCAGATTGTTTGCGAAGTGGGACCATTTTTCCAAGCAAAGAGGTTTCACTTGTTCGTCCAAGTCGGTTCCGTCCAGCCATAATTCTTGTATCAAGATTTTTGCTTGTATCATAATTGGCGAAAGCCATCCTGCGGGGTCGAAAATTTTTGCCACGGAGGATAAAATTTGGAGTTTCGTTATAGCGGATAATGCTGACATTGACTCTGTAGTGTATGAAAACTTGGTCAGATATCGCATTCAATTGGATCCCCAAAGTTTTTGTTGTACTTTACTTTTCAAATTAAGGAATATAAGTATCTAGCAATTTTTCATTTGGTATATTTTTTTAAAAAATATATTTTTCGAGGGCTTATACCCCTTGTGATAGTGACTCGTATGCTTGTGGAAGACTGTGACTTCCAGACAGGATATCGTCTACATACGTTTGAGTTTTTAACACGTTCGAATGGCTAAATATGGAGTACAGTAAACGCCAAAGGTAAGTCGTCTTTATGTACGTCTATTTGTGGATACATTTTTTCAACGTCTCAATTGTTTACGTATTTGAATATAAGCCAATTTAATATGAGGAGCATTATATCCGATTGGAGTGTGGGTCCCGTAAATAGAATATCATTTAGGAAATTTCCTGAGCTAGTGGATCTTGAGGCAAGGAAGACCACTCTGACTTTTGTTGTTTATTTTTGTAGTAAAGACAACTGCGTGCAGAGGCAAGTAAAATGGGTAGTATTTGCCGTTTATGATTTTTTCGCCTGCGCTTATTTCCTCCATGTGGTCTAAATGGAGGTATTTTTCTAACATGCCATTCTGTATTCTGGCTAAAGCTCACTTTTTTAAAAGTTTTTTTCCATACTTAAAAACTGCTGCATTGCGAGAGTGACCTAAGGCCAATGTGTTAGGAAATTGTTGTTTTAGTGGTAGTCGTACGACGTAACGACTATTATCTGATCTAGTAGTTGTGGCTTTGTAAAAGTATTCACAATACTGATCTTCTGGGGTTGTAATTGATATAGGCGGAGCTCTTTAAACCCCCAAAATTTCTTTAATTGTGAATTGAGGTATTCGTTTGAGAGTTCCTCAACTTGAGTGGGCATGGTGGTAACTGGTTCCGTAACTAGGCCACTTAGGATCTAACCAAAAATAGTTTTTTGTGCCAGAAGTGAATTTGAAGTTTTCTTAATACCTTCTAGTATTATCTGTGGTATGAGATCGCTGCCTAACAGAAGATCTATTTGAGCAGGAGTGCTGCAGTTGGGATCTGCTAGCTTGAAGTGACCTTTTGAAACCTATTGCCAATGCTTGCTATTTATGTGATGGCTTGGAATCAAGTTTGTTAGTAGCGGTAAGACAATAGCTTCTGCTTGAACGCGCTTATCTACTTTGGGGGAAGTTAGAGTAATGGGGCAGATTTTGTTTGAGTTTTGGACTACTCTTCCGCCCATTCCCGTGATTTCAAAATTGGCTAGTTTTGTTGGCAGTTGTAGCCTATTTTGTGCCCTAGGCACTATAAATGATCGTTGGTCTATTAAGGCCCTAAACTTAAACAGTTCTCATCGGTGGTCGATGGAGACGACTGCTGTAGGTAGTAGTACTCTACTTTGATTTTCGATGTGTAGCGTTTGAGCTTTTAATGCCTTTGAGCAGCATGGTACTTCTGGGCAATTTTCAGGATTTCCAACTTCGGGATTTTCTGTTGCAACTAAACTAGTGGCTCTTTTCATATTTGCACTGTTTGGGGGTGAGCTGGAAAAATTGTTAATATGAAGCATTGAATGAAGTCGTTTATGACAATATACGCAATTAAATTTGCTTTCGCATTTTTTAAGTGTATGCACATGTGACAGACAGTTTGTACGAAGTCTTTTTGTTTTTATAAAATTATTTCAGACAATAATATTAAATTTTTTGAATTTCTCGCAAGATTTGTGCTTATGCCCGGGCCCGTGCGTAATTTCTGATTATTTGTTGGTCTTTTCTTTGTTTTTGATAATTGTTTCTTTTCACTGCTTCTTTTATGTACATATATATGTTTGTGTCACTCCACACCCCCCCTCATTTCCTTTTTTTTTTTAGTTTTTTTGTCAGCCACTTGTATATATTTGTTTTTTTTTTTCGTTTGTGTGTATCTATTGACGTGTAGCCACTTCACAGCACTTTTTTTCTCGCTTAAGTTATATATATATTATTATTTTTTGTTTGATGCGTATATATGAGCGTTAAAGCCACTTTTCAGCCCTTCACTTAAGTTATATATATAATATATATATTTTTTTGTTCGTTTGTAAAGCTTTTTCATTCGATTGTGCCGCTCACTATGGCTCGAAGGACCATGATAAATGTACTCGCTTGCACTCACCGTTTATATGCGTTTATCGAAAGCAAAAAAATTAAAATAGATTTTCCGGCAGTATCCGCTTTGTTTATTAGGCAAAAAATATATTTTCGGGCGAAAAGCTACGATCGGCGGACGTCTTGACGTCGTAAATTGATTGGAACAGAATCAAAAACGTTGACCGTGTGTTCGTTTCGAATTAGATACGAAAAAAAGGGCCGGCCGCTTAACATGACGATAGTTTTGATGATGGTTGGTGGTCTATATGTGCATCTCTTTCTTACGCATTTAAAAAATACATTTAATGAATGTTGCTACATTTACAACATAATTTTTCTTTTAACAACAAAACGTTAGATGTGGTTATGCTGTGGTGTAAGACGTTACAAGTGCAGTAGTGAACTGGTTACCTACGTCTTGTACCAAACAAACTATTTTCAGTAACAGATAGCTAACCAAACAAATTATCAATGAAAAGGACGCTGTTAACTAAGGATTAACAGAGAGTTTTCCAAAATAGTTGGTAAAGGAGATCAGTAAAATGTATGTAGCATTTGCGCCAAAAAAAAGTGAGACAGCGAGCATTAGAGCGAGAGAAATAGTTACTTTTTTCCCAAGGCTAGAACAAAAGTAACCTATCGAATAACTAATGCACTAATTACTGATAACACGGGTCACCAAAAAAAATAATTGTTGCTTGTCCTAAATTTTATACTATGATTTTACTTAGACACAAAAACGAAAAGAAAATACTTTTTTTTTGGTATAAAGTTTGCTTTTGCGATAGTTATAATAATAATACATTTTATTCAATTTTTTTAAAATTTTTATTAGTTTTAATACATTCAAAAATACCGCGAGATTGGAGTGGCCTCAAGTGATAAATAACGATCAGGTGTTTCGTACATATCCAGAAAACATTAAAATGTCATCGAGAATGTGTAAATACGATGCTGATGCATTTTGTTATATACGTGGTGAATTTATGAGTTAAAGTCATGTCAAGTTCTCTGCGATGCCTATGAAGCATATTTTGACTGTACTGTTCGAAATCAAGATAAATCATAGACTCCACATGTTGCTTGCGGTTATTGTAAAGAATGTTTGGAAGGTGAGCGATTTTTAATTGAGCGGTGAATGTGGTGAAAATGGGCGAGGTGAAAATGGGTTTTATGAAGTTTGCGACACCAAGAATTTGGCGTAAACAAAGGAAAAATGTCCATGATTGCTACTTTTGTATTGTTAACCCGAGTAAACGACGTAAAGGTAAAAATGCAAAACCTGTCGAATATCCTGACCTTGCATCTTCTTCTGCTCCAATTCCACATGACCCGACTCGACCAGTGCCTGAGCCACCTAAGAATCTATCTCAAAAAAGTAACTACTCTCTGAGTTCATATAAAAGTAATTCCGATAGAGTTTTTACCTACCTCAGAACAACCAAAATACCATCTTATTACCACAGAAGATTATAATGACCTAATGAGAGATTTAAATTTACCAAAAAATAAAGCTGAGCTTTTAGGCTCTCGGTTAAAACAGTTGGCCAATTTGCTTGATGATGTTAATATAATATAACAGATCAGCGAACTAGGCATGAGACATTTTCAACGTTTTTCACAAAAGAAGATGGACTTTATTTTTGCAATTGCATCAAAGGTATGTTTGAAAAGAATCGACTGCTCTCACAAAAGCTTGAAAGCCGTTTTATTACACAACGGAAATAAATTTCCATCCCTTCCAATTGCTCACTCGGTACATATGAAAGAAAATTATGATAGTGTTAAAATCTTGCTTGACGCAGTAAAGTATGACGAGTACAATTGGCAGTTGATTGGTGATTTTAAAATGGTCGAGTTTTTAATGGGATTACAGAGCGGATATACCAAGTTTCCGTGCTATCTGTGCTTATGGGACAGCAGAGTGGATGCTAAGCACTACATTCAACGGTCTTGGCCTGAAAGAACCGGATTTTGTATCGGGAAACAAAACGTAAAATTCAGTTCTGTTGTGGAAGCAGAAAAAGTGTTAATGCCACCTCTCGATATTTAGTTGGGATTGATGAAACAATTCGTGAAAAAACTCGACCAAACTTCAGAAGCTTTTGAATACTTAAGAAAATTTTTTCCGAAATTATCAGAAGCAAAGGTTAAAGCTGGGATTTTTGTTGGTCCACAAATTAGAAAAATTTTCGCCGATGAGTTATTTGAATAGTGAAACTTAATAAAAATGATATATACATTTATCTATGTAGTTCTATCTTAAATTAAACATTAAAAACACAGATTTTGAGAAAATTCGTTTAATTAGTTTCCTGACCACAAAAGCAAAGTTTTGAAGGTCATATATTTTTTTTTCGTGTATTTGTGACCTAAACTAAAAAAATTTTACACTTTCAAGTCAAGGTCAAATTTCGTGTTGACCCGTGTAACCTATCGGTAGCCAGTTAGCTAACTTTTACCCGACTTAAAGGGTTTTGTTCAGCGATTGTCAAAAATGTAACCCATTGCCCGTTGGATGTTCAATGTCTTTCTACTCTATTTACAATAATGGCAGGTTATCTCTTTCTATGATACCTCTTCTGTGTGTATCCTATTGGTTTTGATTTTGTTAGCAGTATAGCATACATTGGAATCTGCTAAGTTAACTGTCGGTTAGATGAATTGTACAAATATGTCCATCGACGTGTTACTCTACCGGTTATCCATCTGTAACCTCTAATAAATACATATGTTAGCATATCGGTTACCTTTTTGTTACCAGAAATGTTTCCTGATTGTCTAAGAAAGTCACACAGCAATACTAGGTCTGAGAAAGCTCGGGGATTAATACTAGCGGCGCTTTTTATTTGTGATAAGAGGAAGTCTCCCACATTTTTGGTTTATGGTAGGCAGAAAGATCTTGAAGAGAAATCGCAGCATTGCTCTTAAGTTGGAGTGTTCTTAACGATCACTCTTTCTTTGATCATAGGAACCTGAGTTTTAGCTGGAATGAAACGCGATTAGCTAGCACACATTTGTTTCAGGAACCTTAGAAACAAAAATTGGGATCTCGCTTCAATTGAGCACGCTGGAACGGCTAATCGACTTGATTATCAGGAACTGAATACCGAGGAATAAAATAGTGGCGACTGAGTATACCTACAGCAAAGGCAGGTCGTTAGACACTGTAAAGCCTATAACATTTTATGGTGTAGGTTCTTCAGTTCACCGGACTACCACTGCTTTTCAAGCAGAGGTAGCTGCAACATCATTTAGAGAGTTGTACATTCACTTCGATAGCAGAGCGGGACTACTGACCTTGAGCTCTCAAGATTTTTACTAAGGTTCATCTCGTTAAAATAATAAGACAATCTCCTAGTGATACTCGGTCTGTGCGGTCAAAGATTGTGAAGAATGCAAATTTTCAAAGTTGCTCGGAGGAGCATTAAATGGAAAAAATTGGAAAAATTATATTTCAGTGTCCAGTTTTAACTAGACTAAGGTTGAACCATCTCAGTAATCACAACTTCTGCGACCCAGGTGAATCGGCTTAAATTAATATTAGAGGCCTCAAGAAATTTCTAACAGGCTCAATGCCCTTTGTTATTATACGACGGTCTTTTTAATTCAGATATAGGAGTCCACAACGGAACATCGTTTCTAGCTGCCCAAGTGCGATCATTCGTGACCTTACGAATATCAATACGAGTGGGGCCATGAAAAAGCAAATAATGTAATACACATAAAACAAGACCAAAAAAGTATTATTAATTTAGAAATCAGTTAGACGAAAACAATGACTTTACTTGTTATTATAAAATATATTATATATATGTATATATTTATATGCATTTTAGCATACAATATTCACTTTTATATACACATATGTTTTTCTATACATTTAATTTATATTACATTGCAATGCAAAGAAAGTTTTAAGGATGATATTGCAGGACATAAACCTTATTGAATTTGCTCCATATTATGCTATGCGCTTAAAATAAAAAAGTTTCCATTATTTCCATTAAATGGAGAATTAAAATTACCACAAAGTACGACGTTGAAATGTTTTCTTATAATAAATCTTGAACGATGTGAATATATAATATCTCGAACGGTAGCGAGGACGGACGTTACTGAACATATTAACGGTTATCTAACCACCACAAATTTTTTGTCGGAACATGGTGTTATGTTGAACGTGTTATCTCTCAGGCACCTGTCGGTGCCAGTTCAGATACTGACTTTTTTGTCGCCCGAACCGAGTTTTTGTAGGCGTGGGGACGACGAGGGATGACGAAGAGATCGTGCCGTTTTGTGTTCTTGTTCGCAATAGTTCGCCGCTACACAATATACGTTGTGTTCAGAAATGTGAATTTTTTGTATGTAATTTGCACATATGCATAGAATAATAGAAACATTTTGAAAATTGAGATCAAATTAAGATACTCAAAAATATTTGATTTAAATTTTTAATAAGATTTAGCATAATTAAATGTAATAATGTTATATATATATAACTGAATTTTAATATAAATTGAGTTACTTTTACTTTTTAATATTTACATCAAATATTGAGATACTTTCATATTTATTTTTTTTTACCGCAAATAATATATTGTTATTATCATTTTACACTTCATGTGGTAGATTCGGGCCCACCCTAATATTATATTTAATTTCTATGTTTATTTTACAGTTATATGTTTCAATTTTAATTTCTGTATATGCTCTTGAATTGTCTCGCATTCGATTAACATACATACATTTCACGCTATACAGTTTCTGTTTTGTGTTTGTGCGATTTATATGTTTGCCATTTTCCCTTCACATAAACATGTAGGCCCAAACTACATATTGTAAGTTATCTACATGCTTGTCGGTCGTAAATTGCAGTGTGCAGTTCTTATATTCTCTTGTGCTGATCTGTACGGTAAATGCCAATATTTGTGCATATAAACTGTGGCAAATCATTTTCGAACTTTGTCATCGATCAGCCAGCCAGGAAGGTGGAAGGAAACACTGCGGTAAGTGAAATATATATACTTCTTTGCAAGTGCATAGTTTCGTTGTCGCAGCCTACTGATTCCCGTTCCACTCCGCCACACTTTGGAATAGGTAGAGCTGCTATAAGCCACATGTACAGTTCAACTAATTTAGGGATGGATATGCCTTTGATCCAGTCTAATTCAACAACAATCATACCATTTGCAACATCTGTATGTAATATTTGTGTTTTTTGGCAATGAGCAAACGTGTTGAGTGGGCAGGTTTCGTAGCGCTTATACAGCCATATGCAACAGTGAAATATTTCAGTGAGTGGTTAATGAAATTAGAGAATAAAATTTGTACGGTATTTGTTGATACTTCGTCAAAGAAATCGAAGTTCTGCCCGGTTCAGCACACATTCCAGCAGCACCGGGCAACGAGATGCCCAATTTGTCAGGGGCATGATAAGCCAGTACAGTTTGGGCGTTTTCTAGAATGTTCGGTGCCAAACAGATGGACAGAAGCGAAACTACATCGCTTGTCTCAATTTGGGTTACAGTACACGAAATTGCCAACGGAAATGGGGATGCGTGGATGTGAGCAGCATTTGAATGTTCAGTAGTTTAGGGCACATGCCGCGCAGGAGTCAACGTTTCTGGTAGGCTTGCTTATAAGTGGTGCCGGTATGCAAAAATGTACAGATTCCTCTGCAGAGTTTAACCAAGGACGATTTGGATCACAACTTGAAACATGTAAGCCAACTTCCAGTACAACCTTATGCCCAGGTCAGGCCCAGACTATTGATTGGTCTTAATCATGGCCATTTGGGACTGCCATCGACAACTATGAATGTAAACTCGTATGGTCCCTTTATTACCAATACGGAGTTGGGATGGGTAGAGTTTGGTCCAACTTCAACTACGATACCATCCCCAGCATCGTGTTTGTTTATGAACCGCTAAGCTGATTAGTCTCTCCACAATATGGTAGTTGCCATCTTCAAGACCGAGAATTTCGGTGTCAGAGCTGCGCCTCCTATATAAAGTAATGTGGACACTCGGGCCAGAACTATTCTAAAGTCCGCCACATGCCGCGTCGATGGACGGTTTGAAAAAGTCTCATATGGAGAACTGACAACGTAAGGTTACCTGACAGCTACAACATGGCGTTGAAACGTCTGGTCAGCGGAGCGCAAAGGATGTGTCGATAGAAGCCGCTATGTCTACCGCTAAGACTTGGAATTTGGCTCACTTTGCCGTTGCCAGTCCCAACAAACCCGGAAAGCTACGCATGATATTTGACGCCGGTACTGAGGTAAGTGGAATCTCCCTCAATTCACAGCTACTGAAAGGTCCGTAAGAATATCGGTCCTTGCCGTTGATATTATTCCATTTTCGTGAAGGCGCGATCGCCGTATGTGGAGACATCAAGGAGATGTTCCACTAAGTCCTTATACGAGAAGAATTGGCGTAAACCACTACCAAAGGTTGTGAAATACGCCATTTCTCGTTTTTATTTTGGAAATGGCGTTCCTCAAATCTTTATTAGGTAAAATTAATGTTACATTCGTTTCTTTTAAGTCTAAATGCGCGCCAATGAAAACTCTTATTGTGTCACGGCTTCAACTTCAGGCAGCTGTTTTGGGCACACGCCTCATGCAGTGCATCCGCGACGAACACTCTTTTGGCATCACAGACTGCATTCTGTAGAGTGACCCAAAAACGGTCATCAAATGGATTCAAAGTGAGCATCGTAATTACAAGCCTGTCGTACAGCTACAAGCGTTTCCAATTGGCTGCCTACTAAGCCCACGTCGCGTTGGTCACGTTGTCCCCATTCCTGCAGCAGGATCCCAGGCTTTTACGCTTTTATATAGACGAGGAAGGCGTTCTCCAAGTGCAGGCTCATGACTTGAGTACCGACTCCTGTATCATTGCTATACGTAATTTTGTGAACCGGCGACGTGCACCATTAAGAATTGACAATGGAAAGAATTTCGTTGATGTTGACCGAAAAGCCAAGCGTTTCACAGAAGGGTTCGACTGCGTTTACAAAGTGAAATATCGCAGAAAAATATCCAGTCTGTATTAATTCACCATGTAGTCCATCGGAACGTGGTGCATGGGAGAGAATGGTACAGTGTGTCAAGCGAGTTTAATTTCACACTTTGAAAGAGGTTGCACCAAGGGAGCATACCCTGAATAGTTTTCTTATTGAAACCGTTTAAAGAAGGGGACTGGGTGTTCATATGCGGCCCTAGTGTTCCACGGCGAGAATGGTGCCGAGGGAAGGTAAAGCTAGTGTACTCTGGGCTTGATGGCGAGATACGACGAGCAGACATACGAACTTCTAGAGGAGTGAAACGATGCGCAGTCTCAAAACTTGCTGTTCTGGACATTAATGGAGATGAATCAGGTTAATTCACGGAGGCGGGGAGTTTGTAGATTAAAGCCTACCCTAATATTATATTTAATTTCTCTGGTTATTTACAATTGTATGTTTCAACTCCAATTTCTTTACATTGTAACGGATTTCCCGATAAATCGACGTCTGTCGTCTCACACGACAACACTTTAACTATAAATGTGTGTGCTGCACAATCTGGCAGCCCTTATATAGTACATCTTTAATAAAACTAGAACATTTTGGCAATTACGAACTCCCTGTCTAGTTGCTTCTTGCAATTTATCGTCGGTTCTATTTTGTTATTTGTGCGATTTATATTTTTTCCATTCTCTCTTCGCATAAACAGGTAGGCACAAGCTACATATGTTAAGTTATGCTTGTTGTTTGTAAACTGCAGTGTGCAGTTCCCCTATTCTCCAGTGCTAATCTGTATGATAAATGGTTCATATAAGCTGGGGCAAATCATATTCGAATTTTCTCATTGATCAGCCAGCCAGGAAGGTGGAAGGACACACGGTAAGTGAAATATATAATAATTCTTTGTAAGTGCATAATTTAAATGATTGTGTATTTAGAAGTAAACCATAAACCAAACATGCGTAACAGAATATGAGACCACCATAATAATATACAAATGAACTATGCAGTACACTATAAGTGTCGCGTAGACGAACCGTAGAAACATTTGCGAAAATTTTATGAAAAGATATGACAGAAAAACTCAAATCGAGATGATGCACTCTTTTTGCGACAAAAGAGTCTCCATATCAATACGTTCAATATACATTCTGATCTTTGCACTGTGATTCATAAGGCGATTGATGAATCGCGAGTAAATACTACCCGTTCAATAGTTGTCACGTTCGTATTCATTTGAATTTTATCGGCATTTGCAATATATTTTTTTTTAAAGATTTTTGCTTATTTCTTTAATTTTTTGTTCGTTTAATGTCGAAAGAAAACTGATGAAAAGTTTCGCAGCAAAAAATGCAGGCAACCATTGGGAAGAATTCACTATATCTTTGAAAATACAAAATTTATTATATAATAGCGCAATTCAATAAGCAATCTCTAGTTACTGCTTGAGATATTTTGAAGTAAAGTGTCATTTTGTGAAAAGTTACTTCATGATGTGATGAGTTATTCATGATGTAGTCTCCAGTTTTTAATCACAAACTATTATCTCAAATTCGTTACCTGATAGTGTGCTTTTACATTGGGACTCTTTTGACCGTCATTTTTTCAATGTCAAGAGATTGAGGCCGTGATAAATTGCGAAATAGGTCTTGAGGAAGATTCCATGGACGAAAACGATATATCGAGCGAAATTAACGCATGGACCGAGGAACTAGAGGCAAACTATCAAACTACGGCTAAACAACTTCTTCTCAGATACTCATCCATATTTGATAAAGACGATGCCAAACCAGGAAGAACCAAAGTTGTGAAACATTTTATTAACACAGGTGATGCAAGGCCAATCCGCCTCGGAGCATTCCTTTAGCAAAACGTGAAGTTGTAAGCCAGACCATACGTGAAATGAGCGAAAGCGGCAATCGAACCATCAGAGAGTCCGTAGAGCTCACCTGTAGTACTTGTGAAGAAGAAAGACGGCAACATGAGATTTTGTGTGGACTATAGAAGGTTGAATGATGTAACGAAGACAGTTATCCACAGCTACAGAATCGATGATACACTGGACTCGTTACCAGGTACAAAATGATTCTCAGCACTTGATTTGAAAAGTGGTAATTGGCATTGGAGGTAAACGAAGAAAACAAAGAAAATACGGCTTTCAACATTGGAGATGGTAATGCCCTTTGGATTATGTAACGCTCTTGCTACTTTCGAGAGACTTATGGACCAGGTACTAAAAGGACTACACTGGAAGACCTGTTTGGTATACCTCGACGATATCATCGTGTTGGGTAAAAGCTTCGTTGAACACCTTAAGAACTTGAAGGAGGTTTTCCAACGGATAGCTAGCGCTGGTCTGAAGCTGAGTCCAAAGAAGTGTTCCCTTTTCGAAAAGGAAGTAAGCTACTAAGGACACAAAGTGACAACGGAGGGCATCTGCACAGCTAATGAAAAGATCGAGGCAGTAAGAGATATGCCCGCACCTAAAAATTTGCATTAATTGCGGAGTTTCCTTGGACTATGTACTTATTATAGACGATTCGTTCCGAATTTTGCCAGCGTAGCTAGTAGCCTCCATGAACTCACGAAAAAGAACAGAGTTTTTGAATGAAATAAAGAACAGGAAGTGGACTTCCAAACTCTGAAGAAGCGGTTAAGAACTGCGCTAATGTTAGCATTTTCAGTCCCAGGATCAGCGTTTATTTTGGGTACGGATGGCAGTGGATTTGCAGTAGACGGCGCTCTATCACAAGTCATTGATGGGTATGAGAAAGTGGTTGCGTATTACAGCCAGACCATAAGCAAGCCAGAGAGAAATTATTCATCAAACATTTTCATAAGCACCTATATGGCCAGCGATTTCAGGTGAGGACAGATCATGCAGCATTAAAAACACTTCTACAATTCAGCAACCCTGAAGGACAGTTGGCACGGTGGATTGATAGACTCCAAAGTTACGACTTTCCTATAGAACATCGCAAAGTAGTCATGGAAATGCTGATGCCATGTCCCGCCGTCCCTGTAATCTGGAATGCAGACATTGCTCAAAGGCTGAGACCAAAAAAGACATTATAGATGTCCGATTAATAACTATAACATAAGACTGGGATCCGGAGAAGCTACGGAAATGTCAGCAAGAGGATCCAGATTTGAAAAGTGTAATACACGGATTGGAGATAAATAAACGTCCAACGAGAGAAGAAATAACTGCAAAAAGCCCAATCGCAAAGGCTTATTGGGCACAATGGAATAGTTTGAAGTTAGTGTCTGGCTGCTTGCATCGCGTATGGGAAAGCGAAGATGGGCAAAGTTCACCAGCTCTGATGATTGTTCCAAAAGTAAGAATTCCTGAAGTTCTCAACGAGCTGCACAACGGTCCAAGTCGAGGACACATGGGTATCACTAAAACCTTGGAGAAATTAAAACAACGATTTTATTGGGTTGGTTGTCGTCAAACAGTTACGGAGTGGATCGCCAATTGTGTCGAGTGCATTGCTGCTAAAGGGCCGCGGTCCAAGAGTCATGGTCAGATGAAGCAGTACAATTAAGGTGCGCCGTTAGAGCGAGTAGCCATGGATGTAGCTGGTCCATTTCCTACCGTTAAATTAGGAAACAGATATGTTTTGGTAGTCATGGACTATTTCAGCAAATGGCCAGAGGTATACGCAATTCATAACCAAGAGGCAGGAACAGTAACGGATGTATTCATCAACAATTGGGTACCGAAATATGGTCTTCCAATAGAATTACATTCTAAACAAAGAAGACATTTTGAATCAGCTCTAATTCAGGAGATGTGCCAGAAGCTGGGTATCCGGAAAACCCGTACAATTGTACTACATCCGCAGTCGGATGGCATGGTAGTACGATTCAATCGAACTTTGGAAGAACATTTGAGGAAAGTTGTGGACAAGTATCAGAGAGATTGGGATGCCCATATATCCTTGTTGCTGATGGCTTATCGGTCTGCTGTACAGGAAACAACGGGGCAGACTCCAGCAAGTGTAATTTGTGGTAATGATCTTCGACTACCGATTGATTTAAAATTTGGAATTAACGCCAACGGGGGAAGGAATACTAAGGAACTCAATAGCATCCTAGAAGACGAGATGAGGGATAAACATGCTATGGTGAGGCAGCGCACCAAATCTGAGGGTTTTATTGAAGGCGATTGGGTATTGTTATATAACCCATAACGAAAGAAAGGGTTATCTTCCAAATTACAGTGTAATTGGGAAGAACCATACCAGGATACTAAACGACTCAATTATGTAGTGTATCGCATACAGACCATTGGAAGACCAAGGAATAAAATGAAGGTTGTTCATCTGGAACAGCTTGCAGTGTTTGGTACCGCAAATATCTAATCGGGACGATCAGACTTAGGTAGAGGGCAGTGTGGCGAACACGAGTACCAGAACAAATTAGAATTGACGATAAACTGCCAGGAGCAGCTAGACAGCGAATTCGTATTTGACAAAAAAAGCAATTAAGTAAAAAGCAATTAAGCTATAAGCAATAAGTTGTAAACTCGAAAATCGAGCAATAAGTGTTAAGTTGTATATGTACCAAACGCTACAAGCCGTTCCAGATGAACCACCTTCATTTTATTCCTTGGTTTTCCAGTGGTCTGTATGCGATACACTACATCATTGAGTCGTTTAATATTCTGGTATTATCCTTCCCAATTACACTGTAATTTGGGAGATAGCCCTTTCTTTCGTTGTGGGTTATATAACAATACGCAATCGCTTTCAATAAAACCCTCAGAGTTTATTGAATTGTCGTATTTTGCTTTCATCTTATCGCTCATAATTTTTATGCGCTGTCTCACCATAGCATGTTTAACCATCATCTCGTCTTCTAGGATGCTATTGAATTCCTTAGTATTCCTTCTTCCGTTAGCGTTAATTCCAAATTTTAAATCAAGCGGTAGTCGAAGATCATTACCAAAAGTTACGCTTACTGGAGTCTGCCCCGTTGTTTCATGTACAGCAGACCGATAAGCCATCAGCAACAAAGATATATGGGTATCATAATCTTTTTGATACTTGTTCACAACTTTCCTCAAATGTTCTTCCAAAGTTCGATTGAATCGTTCTACCATCCCATCGGACTGCGAATGTAGTGCAGTTGTACGGGTTTTCCGGATACCCAGCTTCTGGCATATCTCTTATATTACAGCTGATTCAAAATTTCTCCCTTGGTCAGAATCTAATTCTATTGGAACACCATATCTCGATACCCAATTGTTGATGAATACATCCGTTACTGTTCCTGCCTCTTGGTTAGGAATTGCGTATACCTCTGGCCATTTGCTGAAATAGTCCAAGACTACCAAACCATATCTGTTTCCATATTTACTAATAGGAAATGGACCAACTACATCCATGGCAACTCGCTCAAACCGCGCACCTGAATTCTACTGCTTCATCTGACCATGAGGTTTTAGTGGTCAGAGGTGAGGTCAAGGTTTTAGTCATAACCATGTGTACTCCACTTGGACCGTTATGCAGCTCGTTGCGAACTTCAGGAATTTTTATTTTAACTATTGTTATCACTCGTCTAACGTTCTACTTAATATCGTACCCGAACATATTTCTATAGGACAGTATCCTGTTTTTGATGTTATCTTTGATTCCTTGATTCGCTAGAAAGTATACTCCAATTATGGCTTCGTCAACGATATCTGCCACCATAAAATTGTGTAACACGGCTGCCTTTCCAATTGCGATCTCGCACGTTACCTTTCCGAGAACTAGGGTATCTTCTCCAGTTGCAGTACGCAACTTTGCCCCAGCTAACAGTCTCACTTCTTTCTCAACCAGATCAGATCGAATTATGGAATGTGATGCGCCCGTATCCACAGTCAGCATGCGCTTTTGAGCGTCTACATATCCACTAACGGTAACGTTACCCGTATTCCTGCTTACTGCGAGGCGAGTAGATTTTTAAATAAAAGTCCCAATTTAATGGCTTTACACTTATATTTATTCCAACAACTTAACACGTTGCATGCACACAAATAGTAAGATTTATCATACCCGAATTGTGCATGAACAAAAATTAATGAAATGGAATAGATGGAACTGCAAATACAGGAAGTAAATAGTAAAAGAAAAGTAATTGTTATAAAGAAGAATCCTCTATGACATTATTAGTCGATGGTCGATCCAAGACCGGGGTGTTCAAAGTTCTTTCGCGTCGAGCTTCTTTTTGAAAGGGCGGCCTTCGAGCGCGCTTAAAAAAAGTATCCTGGTTTAGACAACAACGGGAGATATCAAGAAAAGGAAAATACTGGAAGATTTTACGTAAGCCATCACACGATTACGGATTCTGTTTTTGCTGCAAAAGTCTCTTCTATTTGTGTATTTTTATTCATTTGCAAAATGTCGGTAAGATAATCTATTACTTATTAATTGTTAAAATGCAACCGTTTTGTTATTGTGCAAATAATTAAAATTTAAGAATACTTTAATTACGATTTATAACTATATGTGCACTATTTATGATTAAAGAAATGTGTGAAAACTATTTACTGATAATATAACCATGTTATATATAAGTATAACACTTACTAAGCAAAGAATAATTACATACTTTAAGATGTGAATTTTTGGATTTTTTGCGCGAATATTTCGAAAACTATAAGTCTCCTTTATATACATATATAATCTGGAAAATACCTTCTATTCGCCCATTTCCATTTTATCCCTAATTTATGATGCTGTACTAAAGATCAGCCTAATAATAATATAATACTTTCTACCGTCGTGTGGCGAATTTACATACAAAATGTCGTGGATTGCTGTATCAGTAATGAACGATCCGCGATCCTGAAACTGACTCTTACTATTATATACAAATATTGTTATATGGGGCAAAATCAATCAAGATGTAGCATGCAATCTTTCATAAATATCGCAATCCTGGTTCCCGTTTAATATATATTGAGCATGCAGTCACTGTTTTCTAACGAACGATAACGTTTAAATAAGCCGTTACCGATAACTCGTCCAATAAAATTGGGTTATATCCCGTTTGTAACGGATTATTTTTGGTAAATCGTTTGACCGTGGTGTTGAATTTGAACATTTAATACTTGGTAAAAATGTTCGCATCTGAATTACCCAAGCTTTCACCTACTTGGGGCTTGTGCACTTTGTGTCATAGGAAAGCGGAGTGGTCTTGTGAACGTTGCGTTGATTTATATTGTTCCATGGAATGTCAGAAAAAGGATTGGCAACGTCACCGTTATATTTGCTTTCCCATGCCAAGTTTGGTACCACTTAGTCACACAGAGGATATGTTAATGCGGAAAAAATTAATATCAGAGTCCAAAGGAAATGATTTAAGTTGTACGTCAGCCGATGAGTTATTGAAAAGGGATTACGCTTTAAAGAATACAAAACTCAGCAATAAAATAAATAGTTCTACAGAAAAAGTTATTTTGGTGAAATTCCTTTCAACAAATAAATGTTTGGTGCGTGCGCATATACAGCCGGATAATTTCACAGATATTCTAAAGGAAATACATGCAGTTGGAAAAACTGCTCCTGAATTAACCGCTTGCCCATCTGTGGGATCTGTTGCTCTTATATTATATAAGGGTACATATACTCGAGTTGAATTGTTATCAATCCAGGACGATGGACACATTAAATTATTATACTGCGATTATGGCTGGATAGCAACTATAGCTAAAACTGATCTCAAAATGGCGGTAGATGATGTTCTAAAATTTCCCCGTTTGTCAGCAGTTATAAAACTACATAATGTGGTCGAATGTTTTGATTCAAAAGTAATATGTTTGCTCGAAAAGTTTGAAGGGCTAGAGTGCGAACTGCGTAGAAGTGTCGAGCAGAGCATTAGTGAAATCGGAGAGGAAGTTACTTTAACATGTGGAAGCAAAAACATAAATGAAGAAATAAATAAATTATGCTCCGACACACATTTTAAAAAAGTGTTCGAAAACGTTCAAAATTCTCAAGATATCGAAATTAAAAATATTAATAACAACCAGGACCTTTTGCTGGATCTTTGTTTTGATGAACCTTGTCAGAAGGAAAAACCAATTTTATCACCACCATTTGACATATATATATTTAAAACTAATTTGACAAATTTCAAAGTTGTAGTTTTGGACACCTCAGCTTTGAGTTACGGGTATATAGGTTGCATAGCGGAAACTGATTTGAAATATCTAGTTACTGTTCAAGAGTATTTGAATAATTATGAAGATAATGGACAATTTTATAATCCAAAGCTTCATGAATATTGCTTGGCTAAGTTTGAGAATGAGTGGTATAGAGCCAGAGTTGTGAAAATAATAGGAAGCTCATGTTATACTGTTGTGTATTTGGATTTTACTAATGAAATCACAATAACTTCACAGGATATACGACGTTATCCTAAAGATTTGAATGGACCGTGTCGTACTAACTTGTGCTTAATTGATGGATTACCTACTACACTTAATGCCGATCATATAAACTTCTTAAAAAAAGAGATAACGACAGAATGTAAAATGGTTATTGATAAAGTTAAAGAAGTTGTTCAACAAATTGTTGTAATTGAATGCCCGTCTATTATTAAAAAAATGAGCACCATTGAATTAAATTAAATGTAATTTTTTATAATTATACAATAATAAACCAGTGAATAAAAATTTAATTTGTTTTTGATACATGTTCCGTTAAAAGTTTATTATTTTAACACTGGGGCGACGAACCGGTCAAAATGACCGATCGCATCATTTATTCATACCATTTCCTCTTCATTCCTATTTAATATTTTACGATAATGTCATGATTCTTATTAAATTTGTGTATAGAATAATATAGATTATTTTGTTCTTACGCTTCTAATATTCAGTAAGAGAGAGACTTATTTGAAATAGGTATATGGTAAATCCTCGTAAGTCTAGTGTTAATTTAGGTAAGTATAATGCAGGAACTGTATTCAACCAGAACATAAGCTTGAGGATCTTCTTGTGGCTCTGTACTTAGGCAAGAATTATGGACGTATGCTGAGTTAAATGGGAGATTTGTTAAAAGTCAACTATATCGTCCAGTTAGTGAAACCTTTTCTCAACTTAGGGATGGGCGGTTACAGCGTGGCTTTAGAATAGGAACAACGGTTGGCATCGGATAACCTGGGCGCTGGGTTAAAGTCATAACTAACGGAAGATATTCAAAAGTTGACGGTTACAGCCAGCAAAACGAAGTAAGTGTTGGTAGTGGGCGCTGATGCTAACGCCCACCACATGACTTGGGACAGCTCCGACATCAATCAGAGAGGTGAATCTCTATTCAATTTTATTTTATAGTATATTTAGTCTAGCGATAGCCAACCGAGGTGAGGAACCTATCTAGGAACCAGCGCTAGACACGTCATCGACATGACATTCTATACCAGTAGCGTTGCAATGGTATAGAATTGGAGAGTGCTAAGTACACCGTCATTATCTGACCATAGGTACATTACTTCTCCATTAGATCAGAAGCAAAAATTAGACATGTGGTTAAGCTAGATACGAGAAATAGAAACTGAGACCTCTGAAGGAAGGCTTGCAGACGCAGGGTACGAGAGCTTTCTTCTAAGGTAGTAGAACGCGAGGACTGCTGAAACGAGTGTAAAAATCATTTACGAAAATAAAAAAGTTCGTGCGCAGAACCAACCGAAAGACTTGAAAGAACTTATGTAGTATATCCGTGTCGTGATTAAAGACGATTTTTAGGTTCAGCTATATGTCACACTCATGGAGAAAAGTTTTCATAACGAAGTGTCTTATCAGACGTTTAGCAATTTAAACGACTGAACGGCCAGACCGAAATCCTCCTAAAAGCACATGAGAACGGAAAGATTTGCTGCCTCAGTTCAAGATCATTAATAAAAATATAAAATAGTGGAATTAGAGAAAACCTAAAATCTACACCCATGTAATGATATGCTTTAGAAATGAAGATTGTTTCTCCTAAACTTTATCTGCTTTCCCACAAATATTTGTACTTGATCAGTACCCGCGGAACGTCTATTGTCTAATGCTGGGCCAATAGTTTATGAAAACCGAAGATGGGGTCGTCTTTTATATACCGTCTCAGGCTTTCGGGGATAAAATGGGTATGGGCGGATAGAATAGATCCTCCAGATCAGGTAGATATAGCCGCGGGAAACTTATAGTTTTCGAGATATTTACGTTTAAAGTTGAAAGTTTCAACTTTTTAATGTATGCATTTTTTCGATTTAAAATGAATTATACACATATATTTATTTTCACTTTTATATCTACTAACATTAATTCCTTTTTATGGCAAAAGCTTTTTTTAAATCATTCTTCAATTTCATTAATTTTGACAATAACAAAAGGGTTGTAAATGTCAAAAAACCAGTGTTGCCATACTAATATATTTTGAAAACGGACAAAAATAAAATAAAAAGACAGATTATACCCTAGATACAGGAACCAACACAAAAAGAATTTCTGCGCGAAGAAACCTTGGTACACCACGGTGTTTGACCGACCAGGGTTATTTTTTTGAAGTGCGGCCGAAGGCCTCCAATGCAAAATGAAGATATGCGCAAAAAAACCTTGATACACCCCGATGTTGGATCGACCAAGGTTATTTTTATGAAGTGCGGCCGAAAGCCGCCAACGCAAGAAGAAGTTCTGCCCAAAAAAAAACGATTATTTTTTTGAAGCGCGGCCGAAAGCCGCCAACGCATAAAGAAGTTCTGCGCGTAAAAACTTTGGTACACCCTGGTGTGGGACCGACCAGGGTTATTTTTTTCGAAGTGCGGCCGAAAAGCATTTTCTAAACAAAATTGGAAAGTATAACGCTTGCTTTCAAATGACGTCCTTTGGAGTAGACAAAGAGATAAAACCTGCCCGGATTTTTACTGTGTAAGGACAGATCTTCCATCAAATTTTGGTCACTTTTTCCAGGTAATAATGAACAGCATTAAGTTTTTCAGGTGTATTTTACGGTACTTAAACAAAATCAAGTAAATCGTCTATGTCAGCATATCGAAGGAGTCGAAAGAGATATAGTACTTAAAATTTGACGAATATTACACAGACACAACTATGTATGTTACTTAGTGAATACAGCGTGTGAAGCTCGCCGACTGTTATAAAATGTTAGTCATTTGGACGAAACTATAAAGAAAGCTGTTCAATGTCAATCATCAGATAAAATATGGAAACTTTAGGCAACGCTTCCATCTTCTTGCGTTCTTTATAATCCTCAATACATTGGAAAGACTTCATGGCGGAAGATATTTTGCATGAACTGCAGTAAGTGCATTCGGATATGACTTTCACTAAACATACATATAAAAGTATAACAAAACGCTTATTATAATCGAAAACCAGGTTTTATCAATGGTCGAAAAAAAACTAGATCATTTTGGAATGCAAAGTCCTAGGCAAGGCAATAAAGATGATTTAATAATGAAAATAGTGGAGAATTAAACTATGATTTTAAAGCACTGCAACATGAAGCGATAGAGTTAATTCAAAAATTACTTCTGGAGCAAAATCATGGCTTGTAAGCTTTTAGTATGGGATGAAAGTACAATGTCTCTTCAAGACTTACGAGATAGTATAGATGTAATGAATAGTGGTTTTATTGGCTGGTTATTTCCGACAACCTCTCATAGTCTTTCAGAAGGGGACACAAGCAGATGAAATTAAAGCAAGCATTAAATCATCAAGCTTATGGTCAATAGTTAAAAATTCAGTTGGAAAACGAATATGAATGTACATCTTTATAATGACGTAGATTCCGAACTTTATGCAGAAATTTTGTTGAAAATCGGTGATGATTGTTTAGAAGTTAACGATGATAGTTATATTTCTTTCACTTTCCAGATAAAGTGGGTATTAATATAAATAGCGACATTTTGAAAAAAGTGCAAAGAGAAATTAATATTTGTCAATGGATACAATCATAGGATCATAATTAAGAACTTCATATACTGTGGAGTTTTTAAATTCACTTCAAATATCAGGTGTACCGTCACATAAACTCAAATTGACACTAAATGAACCAAAGTAGCTTATGCATAACATAGATGCTCGAGGTTATATGATGGGACAAGGTATCGGATATTAATTATTCCCTTTGACCTTCCATTTCAATTTAAAACGGGTTATTAACAAAAAACCGTGGCAGAACTTCAAGCTGTAAAGCTGTAATTTTTTTTTTCTGTGTACTTTTGTGTTTTATTTTGCAAAATTCTTAAACTTTAGTTGATTTTTTAGTGATTTAATACAATATTTAGTGATTTAACTCTGAGCTGCAAGCTAAGTATTAAATGTTCTTTGTTTTGTGCATTATTAAAAAGTTTAAATTTGGTGGAATTTTTGGTGCCGAGTCAGCTTTTTGCTTCATTTTGTTTTAATTTATTCTATTTTCTCCCCTTATTTATTTCATTTACTTCTTTATTCACAGCTGTGTTACGTGTAGCTTTTTATTTGTTCCAGTGCATCTAAAACTGCTCGCTATATTGTTTTTTCAAATTGTCTTGGTTTTGAACTTTAATAAAAAAAATTGCTATTATTTTTGATTTGTTCTTTATTTAATTTATTATTATTAATGTTTTATTAACACACTAATTTATTATATATCTATTAAATTTGGTTTTACTTACTCTTTTATTTGATCTTCTTGTTTGTTTATTATGTCTTGTAACTTCCCCAATTGTAACATAAATGGCGAGTCAGATCGCCATGTTTCATGCCGGCTTTGTGATGGGCTTCCCCATATTAAATGTGCCAGACTGACAGGTAGAATCTTAGATTCTATTCTCAACTGTAAGGGATTGCGTTGGTCCTTTTTAAATTGTAGATCTATTGAAATCGATATATTTAAAGTTATAGGGAGACACGCAATAGCTTTAACGAAATCGGTCGAGATCTTGTAACCCTCACTGAAAAATATAGGCACTACGAAAAATTGTTCATATCTTTTAAGTGCCTGAATGATTCTCATGAATCCTTCAAACCTGCTCCTATGCGTAAACGTTCTTTCGATGAAGTAACACATAGTTCTTCTGTACAGAAAAGAACGTCACCTAATAAATCTCTCTTCTCCTTGCCCTTAAGGTGATAAGCCGTCAACTTCCAAAAAGCTCAATTCCCCAAAAGCTCTATTTAATAGTAATAATTGTTTCACAATTCCAGAGGCTCCCCCTTATAACTTAATACATCTATTAAAAATTTATTAGTTATTCCACCTAAAAAGTCTATATTTATTTCGAGACTTGCCAAAGATACCTTGGTGAAGGACATTAAATCTTACATTTCGTCACGTTTAAAAATCGATGATATCAATATCCGTATTAATTAATTAACTTCAATTATGATAGAAGTATATCATTGTTCAAAATAGACGTATCTCTTGAAACATTCAAAAATATCTTAGATAGTTCATTCTGGCCACCTGGGGCTTTTGTACGCGAATTTAAACCTAAACTTAGAAGTCAAACTGAGGAAAACATTGTTAAATTACCAAAAGCAACCACCGATATAAAAAACTGATTGGTAGAAATTCGCTAAGCATTTTTTATCAAAATGTTAGAGGTCTTGATACAAAATTAACCGACTTGTATTTGAAGAGTTCCAATTTTAATTTCCATATAATTCGATTTACAGAAACATGGTTAAAACCTCACATTTTTGGT